CAAAAGTGCTGGGATGACAGGTGTAAGGTATAGCACCCAGCCTGCTTTGTACTTTTCTATAGGACTTAGATTTTATATAATAACTACAAACAATTTTTACAAAAGCAGTAGTCATTCTAAACTTTTTAAAATTAAGCAGTGATTAAGAATGAGCTACAGAAAGTAGTATTAATTCAGCACCTATTATATACTAGATATTTTGCATATAGCAAATCACGTAGTCCACATATCAAGGAAGGAATTATAATCTTTATTTTCCAGGAGACAAAACTGTGGATTACAAGCCTTTGTTCATTCTAGAGTTACACAGCTGCTGCCAAAACAAGTGCCCTCTTCCCAGAAGCCTGCTCCCTGCTGGTTTTATCAAATTCTACCCCCCACTTCCTCAGCCACATCTGTGAGCAAGAATGTTCACACACACACATTTCTGCTATATTCCATCTGCCTAGGCCAGGAGCTTGTCATGACAAACCAAATGCAATACCTATTTCCTGACCAAACCTGTTATTCAGTATCTCTGTGATTTGAGAAATGGTTTGATTTCATTCTGACAAGGATCACAATGAGGTCTTAAAATAAGTTAAGAATTACAAATCATCCTAGTCTATGTGAAAGGGTGTGATTTTCAGATATACCCAGCCCTTTGAGATGCTCTGCTGGAAGGTGGTTGAGGTACAAAGTACTATTGACTCACGGTCATCTTGGTCCATTGTCATTAATAATGATAGTTTGTACTTCTTTCGTGTTTGTGCTAAAGGTGGTTTCAACCAGGAAGAAGCTTATCAATTTCTAGGTATTCAAATATCTATTTCACATTGTATATGTGCGTGTGTGTATGCTATGAAAATATATACACACATATATTCACATATGAATACATACACACACATATTTATGTATTTACATTATACTAAAAAAAAGTAATTTTTTTTTTTTTTTGAGATGGAGTCTCACTCTGTTACCCAGGCTGGAGTGCAGTGGCGTGATCTCAGCTCACTGCCACCTCCTCCTCCCAGACTCAAGCAATTCTCCTGCCTCACCCTCTGGAGTAGCTGGGATTATAGGTACCTGCCACCACACCTGGCTAACTTTTGGTAAAGATGGGGTTTCACTACCTTGGACAGGCTTGTCTTGAACTCCTGACCTCGTAATCCACACACCTCATCCTCCTAAGGTGCTGGGATTATAGGCGTGAGTCACTGTGCTGGCATAAAGTAAATTCTTAATGATCCATGAAAAGAAAATGGTAGGCCAGATGTGGTGGCTCCCACTTGTAATCCCAGCACTGCAAGAGGCTGAGAGGGGAGGATCGCTTGAGTCCAGGAGTTTGAAACCAGCCTGGGAAACATGGTGAGACCCCCTCTCTACAAGAAATATACAAATTACCTGGCTATGGCAGCTCGAACCTGGGATCCCAGCTACTCAGCTGGCTGGAGGGGGGGAGGATCACTTAAGCCAAGAAAGAAGAGGTTGTGGTGAGCCAGGATTATACCACTGCACTCCATCCTGAAGGAAAAGTGGTACTTTGCCTCAAAGAAAGGGAAAAAATTGGTATCCATGAAAAATTTAAACTATGTATATCTACATAAATCTATATAGAAATAGTATATTAATCAAAAAGCAAACTCTTAATAGTTCATGACAAACAAATAGCAAGCCAGGTATGGTAGTTTATGCTTGTAATCTCAGCACTTTGGGAGGCTCAGGCAAAAGGATTGCTGGTGTCCAAAAGTCTGGGAACAGCCTAAGCAACATTCTGAGAACCAACCTCTCAGAAAAAGTCAGAAATTAGCCAGGCATGGTGGCATGTGCCTGTAGTATCAGCTACTCAAGATGCTGAGTTGGGAGAATTACTTCAGGCCAAAAGGCCAAGGCTGCAGTGAGCCATGATCACACGATTCCACTCCAGCCTAGGTGACAGAGCAAGACCCTAAAAAAAACATAACTGTAACAACATAAATACAGAAGACATGAAGTGAGAAGCTACCATGTCTAGAGTGAAGAAAAAGGGCCCAAGCAGAGGCCCATTCCGATTCCCACCCAAAAAAGAAAAAAATGATGAGACACTAAATAAAACAAAAATCAGTATGAAACCACGCAGGTAGAATTTATTATAAATTTATCACAAATCCATTGTCAAGGTTAAAAGAAGAGGCAGGTGTTTTGCTAAAGCACTCTGCTGTAAAGTTACCAACAAATAGGAGTCCAGAGAAGCTTTAGGCTCCTTGATACTCTTGACCACAAAGATTAAAAAGATGGATCCAGAAAAGGTGACTGTGGGGCAAAGAGGAAAGGGAGAAAAGGCCATGAAGAGGCAGAGGATGGGCTTGACTGTCCACTATAATGCTGAAAGTGGGCCAGAAGAGGCCATTGTGAGACAGGAGCTAGTATAACACACAACACAATAAGACAGGAGCTGGGACTTGGGAGGCAGGCACGAGGAAAGAGACGGGCAACATGAAAAAAGCAAAATGCAGCATCTGGGCCTAGAAACACCAATGTGAGGCAGCTAAGGCAGCCTGGAGAAGAAATAGTCAGACAAAAGCTGGGACAGCTCATGCTGCCCCAAAGAAGGTACTGAAATTGGAGGTCTCGACTTGAGAAACATCTCGGTCTAAATAGCCACGAGGAGCTGGACAGGAGTTGAGTCCAAACAGATTGTCGTGAGGAAAAATTTTAGCAGCAGCCAAAACTGGGAGGAAGATCTGGCCAAGAAGAGGACGATAAGATGCAGCAACTGGGTCTGGAGAGGCCGGCTTAAAAAACATCTGGCCCAGGAGAGGCCATCAAAAGGCAAAGACGGGGCCGGGAAAGGCCGTTCCCCGTGACAAATGAGCCGGGCCTAAAGAGGACGCTGGGAGGCAGGAGCGGGGCCTGGCGGAGCTGCCGAAAGGCAGGAGGAGCTCTGGCCTGGGGAGGCCGCAGTGAGGCGAGAGACGGGCATGGAGAGTCTGCTGTGAGGCAGAGGCTGGGCCTGCAAAGGCCTCCGGGAGGCAGGAGGCTGGGCCTGGAGAGGCCGACTGGAGGTCAGGTGCTGGGCCTGAGGAGGCCGCCAGAAGTCAGAAGCAGGGCCCGGGAGGGCCGCTGAGAGGTATGAGCGGGGTTGGGCCTCAAGAGGCCAGTGGCAGGCAGGAGGAGCTGGGCCAGGAGAGCCTGACCTGAGGACGTCTGGCAGCTGGAGAGGCCGCGGAGAGGCAGGAGTTGGGCCGGCGGAGGCCGACCGGAGGACGAGTTGGGCCCGCAGGGGCCGCCGGGAGCAGGAGCGAGCCCTGGAGAGGCCGAGTCGAGGGCAGCGTTGGGCCTGCAGAGGCCGCGGGGAGGAAGAGCTGGGCCTGGAGAGGCCGACTGGAGCAAGTTCAGGGCCTGGAGAGGATGCAAAGCGGCAAAGGCCAGGCCCGGAAAGGCCGCCCTGGGGCACGCGCCTGGCCTCCTTACGAGGCGACCGGGAGGTAGGAGCCGGGCCGGCAGAGGCCGCCGAACGGCAGGAGTGTGGCCCGAGGGGGCCATTGCCCGGCAGGAGGTGGGCCTGGAGGGCCCACTGTCAGGCAGAGGACGGGCCTGGAGAGGCCGCCCACAGGCACCAGCTGGGCCTCACTGGACCCGCGTGGGGGACGACCTCGGCCTACAGAGGCCAGTGAGAGGCGGGAGCTGACAGCTGCCAGGCAGGCTGCCAGAGGCCTGAGTTGGGCCTCGACGAGCCACCGCAGAGGGAGGAGATGGGCCTGTCGAGGCTGCCGGGAGCCAGGCAGGAATGTGGCCCCGGGGAGGCGTCGTGAGGCGAGAGCTGGGCTGGGAGAGACCGGGGGAGGCAAGAGCGAGGCCCGCAGAGGCTGTTCACAAGCCAGAGCTCGGTCCGTGCACGCCAGCTGGAGGCAAGAGGTGGGCCCCAAGAGCTTGAAGGGAGAAGGTTTTGGGCCTTCAAAGGATGGGAGGAGCTAGGCAGGAGCCGAGCCCAAAGAGGCTGTTGCTTGCAAGGCAGGAGTTGGTCCCGTGGAGGCCGCAGCCGGGAGGAAGCGCTGCGCCTGGAGCACCCGTGACCAGGGAGGCAGAGGCTGGGACGGTAGAGGCCGACGGGATGTGGGAGTTGGCCCTGGAGGGGCCTGCCCGAGCATGTGTCGCGACTGGACAGGCCACCAGGAGGACCGAGCTGGGCCTGGAGAAGCCGACTGGAGGAAGTCTGGGGACTGGAGACGCCGGAGGAGGGCAGGAGCTGAGTCCAGAGGGGCCACCATGAGGCCGGAGACGGGCCTAGAGGGTCCAACTTCAAGACGTGTAGGGACTAAAAATGCCGAGGAGCGGGAGCTGGGACGGAACCGAGTCCAAAGAGGTTGTCTTGAGGCTGGGGCTGGGCACGCGGCCGCAGCCGGGAGCAGGAGGAGCTGGGCCTGGACGGGAGGCCGGGAGGCCGCGACTGGGCCTGGAGGGGCCGGCCTGAGGAAGTTCGGGGCCTGGAGAGGCCGCCAAAAGGCAAAGGCTGGGCCTGGAAAGGCCGTTCCCCGTGACGAATGAGCCGGGCCTAACGAGGCCACTGGGAGGCAGGAGCGGGGCCCGGCGGAGCTGCCGAAAGGCAGGAGGAGCTCTGGCCGGGGGAGGCCGCAGTCAGGCGAGAGCTGGGCGTGGAGAGTCCGCTGGGAGGCAGAGGCTGGGCCTGTGCAGCCCTTCGGGCGGCAAAAGGCTGTGCCTGGCGAGGCCGACTGGAGGTCAAGTCCTGGGCCTGAGGAAGCCGCCCAGAGGAGGAGCTGTGCCTGGAGAGGCTGGCTGGAGGAATTCTGGGGTGTGGAGACGCCGTCGGAGGGCAGGACCCGGGCCCGGAGAGGCCACCTTGGGGCCCGGCTCCAGGACGTTTGGGACCTATAAAGGCCACGCAGCGGGAGTTGGTCCGGAGCCGAGCCCAAGCAGGTTGTCGTGAGGCCGGGGCTCGGACTGCGGCCGCAGCCGAGAAAAGTAAGGGCTGGGCCTGGACGGGAGGCCGGGAGGCCGCGACTGGGCCTGGAGGGGCCGGCCTGAGGAAGTTCGGGGCCTGGAGAGGCCGCCAAAAGGCAAAGGCTGGGCCTGGAAAGGCCGTTCCCCGTGACGAATGAGCCGGGCCTAACGAGGCCACTGGGAGGCACGAGCGGGGCCCGGCGGAGGTGCCGAAAGGCAGGAGGAGCTCTGGCCTGGGGAGGCCGCAGTCAGGCGAGAGCTGGGCGTGGACAGTGCGCTGGGAGGCAGAGGCTGGGCCTATGCAGGCCTTCGGCGGCAGGAGGCTGGGCCTGGCGAGGCCGACTGGAGGTCAAGTCCTGGGCCTGAGGAGGCCGCCCAGAGGCGTGAGCGGGGCTGGGCCTCAAGAGGCCAGTGGCACACAGGAGGAGCTGGGCCTGGAGGGGCTGACCTGAGGAAGTCTGGCAGCTGGAGAGGCCGCGGAGAGGCAGGAGCTGGGCCGGCGGAGGCCGACTGGTCGACGAGTTGGGCACGCAGGGGCCGCCGGAAGCAGGAGCGAGCCCTGGAGAGGCCGACTCGAGGCCAGCGTGGGCCTGCAGAGGCCGCCGGGAGGAGGAGCTGGGCCTGGAGAGGCTGGCTGCAGGAAGTCTGGGGTGTGGAGACGCTGTCGGAGGGCAGGAGCGGGGCCCGGAGAGACCACCGTGGGGCCCGGCTTCAGGACGTTTGGGACCTACAAAGGCCGCGGAGCGGGAGTTGGGCCGGAGCCGACCCCAAGGAGATTGTCGTGAGGCCAGGGCTCGGCCTGCGGCCGCAGCCAGGAAAACGAAGAGCTGGGCCTGGACGGGAGGCCGGAAAGCCGCGACTGGGCCTGGAGGGGCCGGCCGGAGGAAGTTCGGGGCCTGGAGAGGCCACCAAAAGGCAAAGGCTGGGCCTGGAAAGGCCGTTAACCTTGGCGAATGAGCCGGGCCTAAGGAGGCCACTGGGAGGCAGGAGCGGGGCCTGGCGGAGCTGCCGAAAGGAAGGAGGAGCTCTGTCCTGTGGAGGCCAAAGTCAGGTGAGAGCTGGGCGTTGAGAGTCCGCTGGAAGGCAGAGGCTGGGCCTGTGCAGGCCTTCGGGCGGCAGGAGGCCGGGCCTGGCGAGGCCGACTGGAGGTCAAGTCCTGGGCCTGAGGAGGCCGCCCAGAGGAGGAGCTGTGCCTGGAGAGGCTGGCTGGAGGACGTCTGGGGCGTGGAAACGCCGTCAGAGGGCAGGAGCGGGGCCCGGAGAGGCCACCGTGGGGCCCGGCTCCAGGACGTTTGGGACCTATAAAGGCCGCGGAGCGGGAGTTGGGCCGGAGCCGAGCCCAAGGAGGTTGTCGTGAGGCTGGGGCTCGGCCTGCGGCCGCAGCCATGAAAACAAAGAGCTGGGCCGACTGGAGGTCAAGTCCTGGGCCTGAGGAGGCCGCCCAGAGGCATGAGCGGGGCTGGTCATCAAGAGGCCAGTGGCAGGCAGGAGGAGCTGGGCCTGGCGGGGCTGACGTGAGGAAGTCTGGCAGCTGGAGAGGCCGCGGAGAGGCAGGAGCTGGGCTGGCGGAGGCCGACTGGGCGACGAGTTGGGCCCGCAGGGGCCGCCGGGAGCAGGAGCGAGCCCTGGAGAGGCCGAGAATCGAGGCCAGCGTGGGCCTGCAGAGGCCGCCGGGAGGAGGAGCTGGGCCTGGAGAGCCTGGCTGCAGGAAGTCTGGGGCGTGGAGACGCCGTGGGAGGGCAGGAGCCGGGCCCGGAGAGGCCGCCGTGGGGCTCGGCTTTAGGACATTTGGGGCCTACAAAGGCCGCGGCGCGGGAGCTGGGCTGGAGCCGAGCCAAAGGAGGTTGTCGTGCGGCCAGTGCTGGGCCCGCGGCCGCGGCCGGGAGCAGGAGGAGCTGGGCCTGAAAGGGAGGCCGGGAGGCCGCGACTGGGCCTGGAGGAGCCGACCTGAGGAAGTTCGGCGCCTGGAGAGGCCGCCAAAAGGCAAAGGCTGGGCCTGGAAAGGCAGTTCCCTGTGACGAATGAGCCGGGCCTAATGTGGCCACCGGGAGGCCGTAGCGGGGCCCGGCGGAGCTGCCGAAAGGCAGGAGGAGCTCTGGCCTGGGGAGTCCGCAGTCAGGCGAGAGCTGGGCGTGGAGAGTCCGCTGGGAGGCAGAGGCTGGGCCTGCGCAGACTTTCCGGAGGCAGGAGGCTGGTCCTGGCGTGGCCGACTGGAGGTCAAGTCCTGGGCCTGAGGAGGCTGCCCAGAGGTGTGAGTGGGGCTGGGCCTCAAGAGGCCAGTGGCAGGCAGGAGGAGCTGGGCCTGGAGGGGCTGACTTGAGGAGGTCTGGCAGCTGGAGAGGCCACAGCGAGGCACAGCGAGGGCCTCCAGGCACAGCCATAAGTAAAAGCGCAGCCTGTAGAAGTCACCTGGGGGCAGCAGCTGGGCCTGGAGAGGCCAACGAAAGGCATGAGCGGGGCCTTCAGAGGCTGACTTGTGGACATTTTGGGCTTGGATTTTGTGGCCTGGACTTGAGGCCTGTTGGGCCTCCTGCACAGAGGCAGGAGCTGGGACTAAAGAGGCCATTGTAAGGCAGGAGCTGGGCCTGTACAGGCTGCCGGGAGTCAGAAGATGGGCCTCATGAGGCCACTGTAAAACAGGAGCTGGGTCTTGGAAGGTGGCCATGAGGCAAAAGCTGGCCCTTGGGAGGGCAATGAGAGGCAGGAGCTGGGTCTGGTGAAGTCGACTTGAGAAAGTTCTGGGCCTGGAGAGAAGACTGGGAGGCAGGAGCTGGGTCTAAAGAGGCCATTGTAATGATGGAGCTGGGCCAGTGGAGGCTGTTGTGAGGCAGTAGACTCATCCGCGGAGACTGCCGTGAGGTAGGGTGTGGGCCTAAATAGACCATTGTGAGTCATGAGCTTGGTCTGTAGAGGCCGATTGGAGAAAGTACGGGGCCTGGAGAGGTTGCAGAGGCTGTTGAGAGGCAAGACCTGGGCCAAAAGATTCAAGTATGTAACATTTATTAGGTACTTTATTTCCTTTATTAAATTGTAATAGATGAAAAGTAATTATAGAACTCACCATAATGTAGAATCAGTGGGCATGTTAAGCTTGTTTTCCTGCGACTAGATGGTCCCATCTGAGCATAGAAGGTGACAGATTAGGCATTAGATTCTCATAGGGACAAAAGCACAACCTAGATCCCTCACATGCACGGTTCTTAACAGGGTGCGTGCTCCTATGAGAATCTAATGCTGCTGCTGACCTGAGAGAAGGTGGAGCTCAGGCGGGAATGTGAGCAAAGCGGAGTGGCTGTAAATACAGATGAAGCTTCCCTCACTCGACACCACTCACCTCCTGTTGTGTGGCTCCTTACAGCTCCATGGCTCAGGGGTTGGGGACCCCGGCTTAAGTGCATCCAAAAGCACCTTACCCACACCAGTCTTCATAGCGGTCAAGTGCAGCAACCACTGAGCTCCCCAGGCATGTGCCTTACTTGGCATTTCATCACAATCAACAGTAAGTGGTAGCTTGAGTCACTGTGAGGTCACTTACTGGAAATCACCGGCATCCCATTTCCCATTGGCAAGGAGCTCAGCACTGTCCCTTGGAAAATCAAACCTATGCCCAAATCCCACCTGTGTGAGTTTATCTCCTGGGACCCTTCCGAGCATATTAGTCAGAGTCCAATCAGGAGACATAAACCACTCAAAAGTTTAAAGTGGTAAAATTTAATCCAGAGAATTATTCATTGTAACAGGGGAACAGCATAACGAGAGATTGGCTAGCACAAAGTAAAGAGAACTCTAGAAAAATCAGGACTAGCCCAGGCCAGGCATGGTGGCTCATACCCAAAATTCCAGCAATTTGAGAAGCTAACACAGGAGGACTGCTTAAGGCCAGGAGCTAGAGACCGGTCTGGACAACACAGTGAGACCCTGTCTCTATCCAAAAAAAGAAAAAAATTAGCTGGGAGTGGTGGTGCACACTTGTAGTCTCAGCTACTCAGGAAGCTGAAGTTTGAGCCTGGGAGATCAAGGCTGCAGTGAGTCATGATTATGCCACTACAGTCAAGCCTGGGTGACAGAGCAAGACCCTGTCTCAAAGAACAAAACAACAACCATTTACAGACAGAAAAGAAATAGAGCTAATAAGCTAAGGAAAGATGTAGAAATGTGACAAGTAAAGTAATATGAGGTGTTTTACCAATTTAAAATAAACAAAAAATGACATTAAATTTTAATACCCTGTGCTGGCAAAGATGCAGTGAAATGGGCACTTTCTTATACTACGAGGGGTGTTTAAATTGAATATAAGCCTTCCAGGGTAAAGCTTGACAATTTTTTAAAATAATAGAGACAGGGTCTCACCATACTGCCAAACTGCCTCCTCCAACTCTTGGCATCAAGCAATCCTTCTGTCTTAGCCTCCCAAAGTGCTGAGATTATAGCTGGGAGGCACGCAAAACTTTGTCAATTGACATCAAGGGTAATGAGAATGTCCATTCACCATGACTTACAGTAATCTTACTTCTGCAAATACCTTGGGGAGACAATTCAATCTAAACAAAGGTCATCTGTACAAACACAGTGAAAATCTGGGAGTAACGGAAGACAGAGTGGTTAAGTGAAATAAGAAACAGTTATAAGAAATTAAACCACGGTATTAACAGGCAACTGGTAAAAGGTCAGTTGATGTTAGCTGCTACTTTTTTGTTGTTATGAGACAGTGTCTCACTCTGTCACCCAGGCTGGAGTGCAGAGGCTTGATCATGACTCACTGCAGTCTCAGCCTCCCTGGGCTCAAGCGATCCTCCCACCTCAGCCTCCCAAGTAGCTGGGACTACAGGAACATGCCACCACACTAGGCTAATTCATGTATTTTTCTGTAGGGATGGTGACTCCCTTTGTTTCGAAGGCCTGTCTCAAACTCTTGGCCTCAAGCCATCCTCCTGCCTCAGCCTCCCAAAGTGTTGTGATTACTGGTGTAAGCCACCACACCTGGCCAGATGCTACTTTTATCAATATTATCATTACTCCACTCAGTTAAAAATTATTATTTTCAAGGCTATGTAATACTATGTGTCCTACAGCATAACTGTAAAAACATATACAGTCATCCCTCGGTATACAGACAGAATTAGTTCCAGCCCCCCATCTCTGCATATACCAAAATCCATGCTGACTCACGTTTCGCCGTCACCCCTCTGGAACCCACGTATAGGAAAATTCCAAATATGAGTTGGGCATAGTGGCAAGCACCTATAGTCTCAGCCACGTGGGAGGCTGAGACGGGAGGATTGCTTGAGCCTGGGAGGTTGAGGCTGCAGTCAACTGTGATAGCACTACTACACTCCAGACTGGACAACAGAACGAGACTCTGTCTCAGAAAAAAACAAAATAAAACAAAACAGGTTAGAAATTGTAATGAGGCCTGTTGGGCAAAATTCCATATAAGCAAAGTATAAATTAATAAAGCAAATGGCGATAAATTAGTATGACTGACTTTCTCGAGTTTCTCACAATAAAGGGAAGAAAAATGCAAAACACAGAGACAGAGGGTAAAAGAAATTAAGAAAGCATTCAACATGTTTAAGAGGAAGACACTGGCCATGTTTGTGCAGCAGCAGTATGTCACGATATGACATACCTTGGAGAGAAGTTAACAGATGAGGAAGTTCATAAAAATGATCAGAGAAGCAAAATACTGATAGCGATACTCAAGTAAACCACAAAAGTTCCATAACTCATGTCAGCAAAGTGGGAATATTGTACAGTGTGTGTTGACGTTCCTATACAACACTGTTTATTTGCCTTATGTTTGTTTGCAAGGAATGTATATACTAAAAGTTCTTCTTGCTGTCAAAAGAATATGTGTAAGTCATTTGAACATATTCTTCTGTTTTTCTATTTTTATCTTCCTGCCATCATCCTACAGCCTTACTTTAGAAATGTTTTATTTGTTTAGAAAACTGAACAAGTGCTCGTTGTGGCAGCTCATAACTCTAGGATGGGAGGCAGGGGTGAAAGGGTTACTTAAGGCCAGGAGTTTGACACCAGCCAGGCCAACAAAGTGAGACCCCGTGTCCACAAAACAATTTAAAAATTAGCCAAGTGTCGTCATGTATACCTATAGTCCCAGCTACTCAGGAGGCTCAGGCAGGAGGATCCTTAGCCCAGGAGCTCAAGACTGCAGTGAGTTGTGATAGTACTACTGTACTCCAGCCTGGGTGACAGGGTGAGACCTCATCTCCTAAAATAAAAAACAAAGAAAAAAAATAGTTCAAGTAGCAAGTTGTATGTGGCTTATTCTGAATATTTCTAAACTAGAAGTTCTCAATCTTTTGGGGTCTAGGATGTCTTTACATTTTTTTACTTTATTAAAGACCTCTAAGACTATTTCTTTATATAAACAATTATATTAAAACTAGAAAATAAGACAAAATTTAAAAAATATTCATCACATATTAATAAAGTCATTACATGTTGATACAAGATTCTTAAAATATTTAACATTCATTACATATTAATAATAAAACCATTACATGTTGATATAATACTCACTCTTTCGCCCAGGTTGGAGTGAAGTGGCGTAATCTCAGCTCACTGCAACCTCCGCCTCCCGGGCTCAAGCGATTCTCCTACCTCAGCCTCCCAAGTAGCTGGGATTACAGGCGCCCACTACCATGCCCGGCTAATTATTGTATTTTGTCAGTAGAGACAGGGTTTAGCCATGTTGGCAAGGCTGGTCTTGAACTCCTGACCTCAGGTGATCCACCCGCCTGGGTCTCCTGAAGTGCTGGGATTACAGGCGTGAGCCACCGCGCCCACCCTGATTAATAAATGCTTAAAACACTGATTAGTCAGGCAACAACACTGGGCAGGGGGCTCCTCATTCCCAGTGACGCAAACCCTACTGCATGGCTCAGGGTTTGCAAGGGTTGTAGAGCTGAAAGGCTCTGACTTGAGATTTCATTCTTTTATTTGTACAGTGATACAGGTTCTGCTCTGTCACCCAGACTAGAGTGCAGCTGTGCAATTACTGCAGCCTCAACCTCCTGGCTTCAAGCCTCACTGCAGCCTCAACCTCCTGGCTTCAAGCCATCTCCCTGCCTCAGCTCCCCAGCAGCTGGTACTACAGTTGAGTGCCACCATGCCGGGCTATTTTTTTAATTTTGTTGTAGAGTGAGGGTCTTGTTATGTTGCCCAAGCTGGCCTCAAACTCCTGACCTCAAGAGATCTGCCCACCTCAGCCTCCTGAGTAGCTGAAACTACAAGTACACATCACCATGCCTAGCTACATTTATTTAATTTTGAAAAATATTTTTGTAAAGAGCAGATCTTGCTGTGTTGCCCAGGCTGGTCTTGAACTCCTGCCCTTCAAAGATACTCCCATCTCTGCTTCCCAAACAGCTGGGACTACAGACATGAGCCACTGCAATGAACTTGAAGAGATTTCTTTAATCTAGCATCCCGTACTTGCTAGGATTGGGAACGGCAGTAGTGTTTTTTTTAATTACTTAATAATTCAGTAAGAATCAAACTCAACCTTGACCTCTGCCTTCTCTCACATCCAGTCTGTCAGGAAATCCTGTTGACTGTCTTCAACACACACTAAAGATCCCCACCCAGCAACTCCCTGGCCTCCTCCCCTACTTCTCCCCTCTGACCATCTCTCAACACCACCATGACCCTGGTCAGGACCAAAATCATCTCCCACCTGGATGTTGCCATAACTTGGCCCCCATGCTTCTACCCAAATCTTCCCACAGCCTTTCTCAACTCAGCAGCCAGAGAATGCTTTTAAACCGGAAGACAGATCATGTCGCCTCTCTGCTTAGAACCCTCCTGTAGTTCCCATCTGAGTCAGAGTCAAAGCCAAAGCCCCAGCAATAACCTCCCAGGGCTTACGTGATCTGTACTGATCCCCACCCAGCAACTCCATGGCCCCCTCTCCTAATTCTCTCCCTCTCTCCTTCTGCTCCACTGGCCTCCTTCCAGAGCCTCAGACACACCTCGGACACTTTGTTCTGTTGTTTCTGCCTACAATCCTCTTCCCTCAGCACCTTGGCCAGCTCCTTCCCCTCCTTCAAGTCTTTGCTCAATTTTCATTTAGAAGGCCACCTCTGACCATAATATTTAACACTGCCATCTGTCCCCATGCCCACCATGCTCATTTCTTCTTTACTTTCTGCCTTCTTTTTTTCAAGATCTCACTGTCACCAAGGTTGGAGTGCACTGACACAATCACAGCTCACTGCAACCTCAAATTTCCAGGCTCAAGCAATCCTCCCACCTCAGCCTCCCAAGTTGCTGGGACTACAGGTTCATGCCATCATGCCTGGCTAATTGTTTTAGTATTTTATTTTATTTTATTTTATTTTGAGACAGAGTTTCACTCTTCTTGCCCAGGCTGGAGTGCAATGGTGCAATCCCGGCTCACTGCCACCTCCACCGCCCAGATTCACGTGATTCTCCTGCCTCAGCCTCCCAAGTAGCTGGGATTACAGGTGCGTGCCACCATGCCCAGCTAATTTGTGTATTTTTAGTAGAGACAGGGTTTCGCAATGTGGCCAGGCTGCTCTCGAACTCCTGACCTCAGGTGATCTGCCCACTTCGGTCTCCCAAAGTGCTGGAATTACAGGCGTGAGCCACCATGCCTGGCCAATTTTTTCATTTTTTGTAGAGACAGGGTCTTACTATGTTGCCCAGGCTGGTCTTGAACTCCTGGCCTCAAGTAATCCTCCTGCCTAAATTCCTAAAGTGCTGGGATTACTGGCATGAGCCATCATGCCTGGCTTCATGTTCATTTCTTCTTGCTGTTGCAATGTAGTTTCCAGTTTTCTACATTCAGTGGCTTAAAACACCACAAATGTACCATCTTACAGTTCTGGGGGCCAGAAACATAAACTAGGTCTATTAAGGCTAAAGTCAAGGTGTCAGCAGGGCTGCATTCCTTCTGGAGACTCTGAAGTGTTCCCTTGGCTTTTTCACCTTCTAGAAGCCACTCCCATTCCTGGGATCATGGCCCCTGACTCCATCTTCAAAGCCAGAAGTGAAGCATCTTCAAATCTCCCTCTCTTACCTCTGCTTCCATCACCACATCTCCTGCTCCACTTCTGAATCTCCTACCCTCTTTCTTTTATAAAGACCCTGCGATTGCTGGGCATGGTGGCTACCACCCATAATCCCAACCCTTTGGGAGGTCAAGGCAGGAGGAACACTTGAGGCCCGAAGTTTGAAACTAGCATGAACAACATAGTGAGACCCACCTCTAGAAAAAAATAAAAATAAATATTAGCCCGACATGGTGGTGTGTGCCTGTAGTCCCAGCTACTTGATAAGCTGAGGTGAGACAATCGATTTAGCCCAGGAGTTTGACATCAGCCTGGGCGACATAAACTAAATCCCATCTCTACAAGGATGAGGTGGGAGGATCACTTGAGCCCAGGAATTTGTGGCCAGCCTGGGCAACACAACAAGACCCCATCTGGCCAACATGGTGAAACACCGACTACAAAAATGAGCTAGGCATGGGTGACGTGCATGTGTAGTCCCAGCTACTTCGGAGGCTGAGGTGGGAGAATCGCTTGATCTCAGGAGGTCAAAGCTATAATAAACTATGATACATCATCGCACCCCAGCCTGGATGACACAGGGAGATTCTGTCCCAAAAAAAAAGAAAAGAAATATAGCACACCAGACTGGGCAACAAAATAAGACCGTCTCTCTCAGAAAAAAAGAAAATCAACTGTTTCTCTGAGTTCTATAAACTGTTCTGGCAAATTATTAAACCCAAGAAGAGAGTTATGGGAACCCCTGATTTGTAACAGGTTGGTCAAAAGTACAGGTGACAACCTAGGACTTGCCACTGGCATCTCAAGTGAGGACAGTCTCGTGGGACTGAGCACCTAACTTGTGGAGTCTGTGCTAAGTCCAGGTAGTATCAGAATAAAATCATGGGATAGCCAGTTAATATCCAGAGCATTGGAGAATTTGGTGTAGAAACTCCATACATACGCTCAGTCGGAAGTGTGTGAGTAGAGACAAACACGGGCTTTTCTGTCACCTGTCTACCTGCTTAACTGCATAGGAGAGGCAATATGTGGTGCTCATGAACAAAGCAAGCATTAAAGTCAGACCAGACCCAACATTTGACTCAGTCTTAATATCCAGGTGAGCTTGAGCAAATCACTCATTATTCCTACGTCTTGATCACTTCATTCATAAAATGGGGATAACTGTGGCACCTACCTGTGATTCTGTGAGAATTACTGAAATACTATGCTTGGTGTTATTGTGATCATTATACCTATTCCAAACTATCTGACAAGGACTGTGATGGATGATAACATGAAAAAATTAGAAACTGTAGTCAGGTCTCTCAGGCAAAATTCCATACAAGCAGACTACTGTCTCTACAAAGCATTCCTGCCACACTTAATTCACCATTCCCTGAACAAAATGTGCCATCTTCATTGTCCAGGTCTGTACAGTGCTGGTCTTCCTGCCTGAGCAGCTCACTTCATCCCATCCCAGCCCATTCTTCATCCCTCCACCTCCCCCTTCCCTCCCCACTCTCATACAACTCTTCCTCATCTTTCAGGACTTGGCTTCAAGGGTCACCTTAATTGGAAGCTTCTCTCACTGTCCAAAAGAGCTTCCCACTGCACTTGATGCATGCACTATTACTTGATCACTTTTGAGTTACAGTCCAAGTCTTTTTGTACCTGAATAACATGTTGCCCAGTCAGTCTCTCTTCCTGGATTCAGAAGTCTTTCATGGTAGATCCAGCTGGAAGTGACAAAAAGACATTCTTTTGAAATAAAGGGATGACACAGATAGACAGAAGTTCTTAAACGTCTTAAATGGTATGTGTGTGAAAATTAAACACAATTCAAAGACTTGTGGGGAACATTTAGGAGGGAAAGTTACTGGGAATGTCATAAAGGGTTAATTTGTATTTTATTTTATTTCTTGAGACATTATTTTTATTTTATTTTTTATTTTCTGTCACCTAGGCTGGAGTGCAGTGGTGCAATTAGGGCTCGCTGCAGCCTCGACCACCTGGGCTCAAGTAATCTCACTTAATTTTTATTTGGTTTAAGAAATAAGTCTTGGTTGAGGGTGGTGGCTTACGCCTGTAATCTCAGCACTTTGGGAGGCCGAGAGGTATATTACTTGAGGCCAGGAATTTGAGATCAACCTGAGCAATATATTAAGACCCTGTCTCTACCAAAAAACAGAGTGAATGTGTGGAAGACAATTTTTCCACAGACTGGGAGTGGAGGGAATAATTTCAGGATGATTCAAATGCATTACATATACTGTGCACTTTATTTCTATTATTACTACATTGTAAGATATAATGAAATAATTCTACAACTTACTATAATGTAGACTCAGTGGGATCTCTGAGCTTGTTTTCCTGCAACGACACTGTCCATCTAGGGTGATGGGAGATAGTGATAGAACATCAGGCATTGGATTCTCATAAGGAGTGCACAACCTAGATCCCTCGCATGCACGCTTCACAACAGGGTTCGTGCTTCTATGAGAATCGAATGCTGCTGCTCATCTGACAGGACATGGAGCTCAGGTGGTCATACAAGTGATAGGAGGGGCTAGAAATACAGATGAAGTTTCCCCTCACTCGCCTGCTGCTCACCTCCGGTTCTATGGCCCTTTGGTTGGAGACCGCTGCTCAAGTGCATTCGAAAGGATCCATCCCATGCCATTCTTCAGAGTCATCTTTACTGTGGCAGTGGTCAACTGTAGCACCCCTAAGCTCGCAGGGCATACGCTTCACCTGGCATTTCACCACAATCAACAGTAAGTGGTAGCTTGAGTCATTGTGAGGTCACTTCCTGGAAATCACCAGCATCCTATATCCCATTAGGAAGGAGTTCAGCACTGTTCCATGGATACCCAAACCTATTCCCAAATCCTATCTGTGTCGGTCTATCTCCTGGTACCCTTCCTAGCATCAATTCTGTATTTGTAGGAGTCTAATCAGGAGACACAATCAACTCAAAAGTTTAAACTGGAATGAGCAAGGTGGATCACACCTGTAATCTCAGCACTTTGGAAGGCCAAGGTGGGTGGATTGCCTTGAGCTTAGGAGTTTGAGACCAGTCTGGGAAATATGGCGAAATCTCATCTCTACAAAAAACACAAAAATTAGCTATGTGGTGGCACTTACCTGTAATTCCAGCTACATGGGAGGCTGAGGCAGGAGAATTGCTTGAGCTTGGCAGGTGGAGGCTGCGATGAGCAGAGGTTGTGCCACTGCACTCCAGCCTGGGTGACAGCGTGAGACCCGGTATCAAAAAGAAAAAAATACATATATGTCAATTTAATATAAAAAGTATTAATTTTGGCCAGGCGAAATGGCTCATGCCTGTAATCCCAGCACTTTGGGAGGCCAAGGCAGGCGGATCACCTGAGGTCAGGGGTTCGAGACCAGCCTGACCAACGCGGAGAAACCCCGTCTCTACCAAAAATACAAAATTAGCTGGGCATGGTGGCACATGGCTGTCATCCCAGTTACTCAGGGGGCTGAGGCAGGAGAATCACTTGAACCCGGCAGGCGGAGGTTGCGGTGAGTCGAGATGGCGCCATTGCACTCCAGCCTGGGCAACAAGAGTGAAACTCCGTCTCAAAACAAAAAAAGGTATTGATTTTAACAGAGGATCAGCATAATGAGGGACACACTAGCACAAAGTAAAGACATCTCTAGAGAATACAGAACTAGCAGAGGTCAGGCATTATGGCTCATGCCTGTAATCCCAGCAATTTCGGAAGCCTAGACAGCAGGATCGCTTGAGGCCAGGAGTTGGAGACCAGTCAGAGCAACATAGTGAGACGCTGTGTCTACCCAAAAAAAAGAACAATATTAGCCAGGTGTGGTGCTGGTGTACACCTGTAGTTCCAGCTACTTGGGAGTCTGGGGTGGGAGGATCCCTTGAACCTGGGAAGTCTACACTACAGTGAGTCAAGATCATGCCACTGAACTCCAGCCTAGGTGACAGAGTAAGACCCTGTCTTAGAAAAAGAAAAGAAAGTGTTAATCCCCCTATGGGAATCTCCTCTTCTCCTGCCCTCTCAGGAACCTCACTTGTCAGTTCTTCCTCCCACTTTCCTGTATCTTTAACCTATCCCCCACTTTTAGCTCCTTCCCACCATCATTTAAATTACTCAAACTTCTTCTATTTTAAAAACCTCTTCCTAAACTCAGTGAGAGGTCTCCTGCACACCCACTGAGCCATCTGCTCCCCTTGGTGCCTTCGCTATAGCAGCCTGAACCATGTCTCTAATCCATGAATCTCATCACGTTACTCCCCCATTTACATCACTTCTCCTTGCCTCCGGGATTAAGTCCAGACTCCTTAACAGCCCCTGCTCTGCCCTGCCTTGCAAGGCAGCCTCACTGCTTGCCCCTCTCCATTTCACCTACTATGGAGTCCAGCTGAGCCTCATCTTTCTCCTCTGGGAGTCTCTGAAGTGGGTGATGCCCTCTGCTTATAATACGCTTCCCCTTAAACCTCTACTCTCGGCCGGGCGCGGTGGCTCAAGCCTGTAATCCCAGCACTTTGGGAGGCCGAGACGGGCGGATCACGAGGTCAGGAGATCGAGACCATCCTGGCTAACACGGTGAAACCCCGTCTCTACTAAAAAAAAAAAAAGTACAAAAAACTAGCCGGGCGAGGTGGCGAGCGCCTGTAGTCCCAGCTACTCGGGAGGCTGAGTCAGGAGAATGGCGTAAACCCGGGAGGCGGAGCTTGCAGTGAGCAGAGATCCGGCCACCGCACTCCAGCCTGGGTGACAGAGCGAGACTCCGTCTCAAAAAAAAAAAAAAAAAAACCTCTACTCTCTTCCTGGCTAGCTTCGGCTCCTCTGTCACTTGTCCGCTTTGGCATCACCTCCTCACGGAAGACTTCCTTGACTCCCCAGATTCTCAGGAGCATGGCAGGTGAGGTGCTCCTCCCATGAATGGATGGAGATTAGGGAGAGTGTGTTATTCATGCTTAATTCACCAGTGCTTAGCTCAGTACCTAGCACAAAACAGTTACTGTGGTAGCCAAAGTAATAACCCCCACCCCCACCAATTGTTCATGTCCTATGTTACACAGCACAATTGCATAGGAAGGTGGAATTAAGAGTGCAGATAAAATTAATGTTGAAAATCAGCTGACCTTAAAACAAGATTATCCTGGAATATATCTAGAAGAGTCCATGTAATTACAAGCATTCTTTAAAAGTGGAAGAGGGAGGCAGAAGGTTAAGAACCAGAGACAGTGGGCACAATGGCTCATGCCTGTAATACCAATACTTTGGGAGGCCAAGGCAGGAAAATCCCTTGAGTGCAGGAGTTCAAGGTCAGCTCTGGCAACACACTTGAGGCCCCATCTCTACAAAAAAATCACAACAAGATTCACTGAGTGTCATGGTGCTCACCTGTGGTCCCAGCTACTGGGAAGGCTGATGTGGCAGGATTGCTTGAGTTTGAGGCTACAGTGAGCCGTGATTGGACCACTGAACTCCATCCTGAGTGACAACGCAAGGTCCTATTTCTAAAGAAAAAAACGACATTGGAATCAGGGTCCCCTTCATCCTAAGGTGCCTACAAGGCATCTCTCTCTGCAAACGAGTAAACATCATCTTCCAACTCCTCACAGAGTGGAGGAGCAGGAAAACTCCCTCACCTCATTTCTGTGCCACTTGGGAGGTCTGGACAGCCCAATAACCAGCTCCTTGCTGATGATGCAATCAGGAAATGGCTCGAGTTGAGCTAAGGAGAATTTGGATCCTTCTTTTGGTTCTCAACAGGCAGGGTAGGGGCCAGGCATGGTGGCTCATACCTGTAATCCTTGTACTGTGGGAGGCCAAGGTGAGAGGATTGCTTGAGGCCAGGAGCTCAAGACCAGCCTGGGCAACATAGCAAGACCTCGGTGGCATGCACCTGTGGTCCCTACTACTTGGTAGGATGAGGTGGGAGGACTGATCACTTGATCCCAGGAGTTTCAGACAGAGCCAGACCATGTCTCAAAAAGTTAAAAAAAAAAAAAAAAAAGAGAGAGAGAGAGAGAGACTATAGGCAGGCACCACCACATTTGACTAATTTTTAAATATTCTGTAGAGACAAGGTCTTGCTAGGTTGCCCAGGCTGGTCTAAAACTCCTGGCATCAGGCTGGGCATGGGGGCTCATGCTTGTAATCCCAGCACTTTGGGAGGCTGAGGCAGGCAAATCACCTTAAGTCAGGAGTTCGAGACCAGCCTGGCCAACATGGTGAAACTCTGACTCTACTAAAAATACGAAATTAGCCGGGCAGTAGTGGCGTGTACATGTAGTCTCAGCTACTTGGGAGGCTGAGTCAGGAGAATCACTTGAACCTGGGAGGCGGAGGTTGCAGTGGGCCAAGATCGCACCACTGCACTCCACTCTGGGCCACAGAGTGAGACTCTGTCTGAAAAAAAAAACAGAAAACAAACTCCTGGCATCAACACATCTTCCTGTCTTAGCCTCCCAATGCCCTGGGATTATATTGTTTCCTATAATTGAAGACACTTGTTCTTATACTGCTTTAAGGTATAAAAGAAAAAACAAAACATAATGACAAATGTTGGTGAAGGCCAGGCATGGTGGCTCAGCCTGTAATTCCAGAACTTTGGGAGGCTGAGGTGGGTAGATCACTCAAGGCCAGGAGTATGAGACCAGCCTGGGCGACACGGTAAAATCCGATCACTCCAAAAAAATACATAAAAATTAGCCAGGCATTGAGATGAGAGAATCACTTGTGCCTGGGAGGTCAAGGCTGCAGTGAACTGTGATGGTGTCATTGGGCTGCAGCCTAAGAGACAGAGAAGCCCCTATCTAAAAAAAAAAAATAATGTCAGTGAAGATGTGGAGGAATTGGAACCCATATACATTACTGGTGGGAACATAAAATCGTGTGAACACTGGGTATTTCTTTTCCTGTCATTTCAATTGGTTTTTTTTTTTTTTTTTTAATCAAGACAGGGTTTCACTATCTTGCCCAGGCTGGTCTTGAATTCATGGGCTCAATTCCTCCCATCGGAGCCTCCTGAGTAGCTGGGATGACAGGTGTGAGCCATCACACCCAACTGGTGTAGCCACTTAAGAAAACAGTCTGGCAGTTTCTCAAAATGTACAGTCATCATATAATGCAACAACTTCACTCCTAGGCATATATCCCAGAGAAATAAAAATATATATCCACACAAATATATATTGTACAACAATCTTCAGAGCAGCATTATTCATAATGGCCAAAACATGAAGACAACCCAAATGTCCACCAACTGATGAACAGATAAACAAAATGCAGCGTGTCTCTACCACGGAATTACTCAGCAATAGGACGATGAAAGGTTGATACACACTATGACATAAAGGAACTTTGAAAACATTGTGCTAAGAGGGAAAAAAGCCACAAAAGATCACATATTGTACAATTCTATTTGTCCAGATTAGGCAAATCTATAGCGACAAAAAAATGAATCAATGGTTGCCTAAGGCTGGGGGCCAAGGCAGGTGGGGGGAGTAGGAGGTAGTGGCTAAGGGGTATGGATTTCTCTATAGGGTAATAAAAGATTCTAAAAGTGACTGTGGTGATCGATGCACAGCTCTCTGAGTATTCTAAAACCTACTGAATTGCAGATTTCAATAAATAAAGTGAATGGCATGTGAATAATATTTTAATAAAGCTATTATTTAAAATAATAGCACAGGTAGTCATGCCTGCCTGTAATCCCAGCACTTTGGGAGGCTGAGTCAGGAGGATCACTTGAGGTCAGGAGTTTTGAGCCTAGTGTGAGCAACCTGGCAAGATCCCATCTCTATGATAAAAAATGAAAAAATTAGCTGGGCATGGTGGCACACGCCTGTAGTCCCAGCTATTTCGGAGACTGAAGTGGGAGAACTGCTTGAGTTCAGGAGTTTGAGGCTACAGTGAACCATGACCATGTCATTGTACTGCAGCCTGAGCAACAGAGCAAGACCCTGTCTCTAAAAAGGAAGGAAAACAAATGCAAGTTTGTATCACTTTGTGAGTGCAGCCAAGTTGGAGGAGAAACAGACAAGAACAAAAGAGCACTGAATAACGAGGGTGAGTGGCTGGTTAGGCTCGGTTGCTAGCTAAGTGGTTTGTAAAGAATTCATTAGTAAAGTTACAGCTCTGGGGACAGTCACGCAAAGAATGAATGCTAAATTCATTACAAATGCCCATGGTCTTTCTTTACATGCCTTCTAGTGAAAAATTCCTAAGTGCCTAAATAGCAAGTCTGCAACAATACCAGCTGTTTATTAAAGACTACGAAAAAGAAATGGAGGCCAGGCCTGGTGGCTCACGTCTGTAATCCCTGCACTTTGGGAGGCTGAGGCAGGCAGATCACCTGAGGTCAGGAGTCCAAGATGAGCCTGGCCAACATGGTGAAACCATGTCTCTACTAAAAATACAAAAATTAGCTGGGTATGGTGGCGGACAACCATAATCCCAGCTACTCAGGAGGCTGAGGCAGGAGAACTGCTTCAACCCAGAAGGCAAGAGTTACAGTGAGCTAAAATTGCACCACTGCGCTCCAGCCTGGGCGACAAGAGCAAGACTCTATCTTAAACAAAAAAAAGAAAAAAAGAAATGGCATCTTCTTCAAGAATGACATAGTTTTTCATGATAAAGCTCTAATTTTGCATTTGTTCAAGTATTGATTAGATTTACCCAATATGACACCAATCTTGGATAAAGTACAAACAACACAATTTCATTTTCTCAATAATCAAAACTGACTAGGTAGTCTAATATCAATTCCGATCTTATTAAACAATGATCAGATTTTTAAAATTATGGAATGATGGAGCAAATAAGATGTTACAACCTGTTCCAAGGGGAATTCCAAAACCCACACATATCTGAGACCATCAAGTATGATGAAATATATTTGATTACTCTACTGAAAAACAAACTGATTATAAAGCCAACAACAGTTGGGCAGGGGTCTCCTCATCCACAGCCACACAAACCCGATCATGCAGCTATGTGGTTGCAAGGCCTACATAGCCTAGAAGGGTCTGGTCTGACCTGGGATTTCATTTCATTTGTATTTGTATTTTGAGACAGGGTCCCACTGTGTCACCCAGGATGGAGTGCAGTGGTATAATCATAGCTCACTGCAGCCTTGACCAACTGGGCTCAAGAGATGCTCCTGCTTCAGCTGCCCCAATACCTGGAAATACAGGCAAGTACCACCATGTCAGGCTTTTTTTTAATTATTATTAATTTTTTTAGAGAGAGAAATCTTAATATGTGGCCCAAGCTGGCCTCAAACTCCTAGCCTCAAGAGATCTGCCCACCTCAGCCTCCTGAGTAGGTATACACCACCATGCCCTGCTATATTTATTTTATTTTATTAAATTTCTTTCTTTTATTTTTGTAGAGAGGAGGTCTTACTATGTTGCCCAGGCTGCTCTCAAACTCATACTTAAAACATACTCCCATCTCTACCTCTCAAACTGTTGGAACTATACGTGTGAGCCACTGCCCCTGGCCTGACCTAGGATTTTTTTTATCTAGCATCCTTTACTTGGTAGGATTGGGAAAGGCAGTAGGGTTTTTTTTTTTTTAATTACTTAATAATTCAATTAGAATCAAACTCAACCTTGACCCCTGCCTTCTCTCACAGCTCACATCCAGTCTGTCAGGAAATCCTGTTGACTGACTTCAACATGTATCCAGGCTCTGACCATCTCTCACTACCACTGTGCACCAGGTCAGGACCACTATCATCTCTCACTGGGATGTTGCCACAGCTTGGCCCCCATGCTTCTACACAAATCTTCCCAGAGTCTTTCTCAACTTGGCAGCCAGGGTGTGCTTTAAATCAGGAGACAGATCATGTCGCCTCTCTGCTCAGTACCCCTCGGTGGTTCCCATTTTAGTCAGAGTAAAAGCCAAAGCCCCAGGAATAGCGTCCCAGGGCTTACACGATCTGTACCGATCCCAGCCCAGCAACTCCCTGGCCTCCTCGCCAGCTTCGCTCCCTCTCTCTCTTTGCTCCACTGGCCTCCTTCCAGAGCCTCAGACACACCAGGGAGTTTCCTCCTAATGCCTTTATCCTGTTGACTCAGCCTACAGAGCTCTTCCCTCAGCACCTTGGCCAGCTCCATCATCTGCTTCAAACTTTTGTTCAATATTCACTTATGAGGCCAACCGTGACCACTCTACTCAACATTGCCATTTGTCCCCATTCCCATCATGCTCATTTCTTTCTTTCTTTTTGAAACAAGGTCTTGCTCTATTGCCCAGGCTGGAGTACAGTGGTGCAATCATAGCTCACAGCAACCTCAACCTCCCGGGCTTAAACAATCCTCCCACCTCAGCCTCCCTAGGAACTGAGACTACAGCTGCATGCCACAATGTCTGGCAATTTTTTTTTTTTTTTTTTTTTTTTTTTTTGAGACAGAGTCGCAGTCATCCAGGCTGAAGTGTAACAACGCGATCTCGGCTCGCTGCAAAGTCTGCCTTTCAGGTTCAAGTGATTCTCTGCCTCAGCTTCCCGAGTAGCTGGGATTACAGGCACCACACCTGGCTAATTTTTGTATTTTTAGTAGAGATGGGGTTTCACCATCTTGGCCAGGCTGGTCTTGAACTTCTGACCTCATGATCCAACCCCCTCAGCCTCCTATAAGTGTTGGGATCACAAATGTGAGCCACCGCGCCCAGCCTTTTTTAAAAAAAACTATTTTAGACATGAGGTCTCATTATGTTGTCCAGGCTGGTCTTAAGCTCCTGGGCTCAAGCGATCCTCCTACCTCAGCCTCCCAAAGTGCTGGGATTACAGGCATGAGCAACTGTAACATAAAGCCCCAGCTTCATGTTCATTTTTTCTTGCTGCTACAACAAACTACCCTATATTTAGTGGCTTGAAACACCACAAATCTACCACCTTACAGTTCTGGGGTCCAGAAGCCCAACTAGGTCTATTACGGCTAAAGTCAGGTGTCAGAAGGGCTGCATTCCTTCTGAAGGCTCTAGAGAGAATGTGCTCCCTTGCCTTTTACAGCTTCTAGAAGCCACCCCCATTCCTTGCCTCATCTTGAAGATGGCCCCTGACTCCATATTCAAGGCCAGAAGTGCAGCATCTTCAAATCTCCCTCTCTGACCTCTTCTTCCATCACCACATCTCCTTCTCTAATTCTGACTCTCCTACCTCCTCCTTTCTCTTATAAAGATCCTTGATTGGTGGGCATGGGGGCTCCCAACTGTAATCCCAACACTTTGGGAGGCCAAAGAGAAAGGAACGCTTGAGGCCAAGAGTTCGAGACCAGCCTGGGGAACATAGGAAGACCCCCCCCCCGCCTTCATAAAATTCAAATTAAAATCAGCTGGACATGGTGATGCACGCCTGTAGTTCCAGCTACTGGACAGGCTAAGGTGGAGGATTGCTTTAGCCTAGGAGGTCAAAGCTGCAGTGAGCTATGATCACATCACTGCACTCCAGCCTCAGTGGCAGAGCGAGACTCTGTCTCAAATGTAAGAAAAGAAATATACATTTGGTCTCTGCCCCTGGTTCCTGGCATAGAACTTCTAAAGCTCTTATAAAGTCCTTAGTGACGGAGGTAATAGGAGCATTTTCTGTTTTAATATTCAGTCTTAGTCCCAGTTTCCTGACACAAGGGCCTCTGAGGTCTTTCAGATCTGCAGCATGGTAAGAATGCATGTGGGATGCTGTTGAGCTGACAGAGTGGCTGCAAGCTCCCAGACTGCTTCAGGAGGAGGGCTGGCTGCCAGAGGAACCAACCACATTTATTTTTTTAAACGGAGTTTGGCTCTTGTAGTCCAGGCTGGAGTGCAATGGCACAATGTCAGCTCACTGCAACCTCCGCCTCCCAGGTTCAAGCAATTCTCCTACCTCGGCCTCCTGAGTAGCTGGAATTATAGGGATGTGCCACAATGCCCAGCTAATTTTTGTATTTTTAGTAGAGATGGGGTTTCACCATGTTGGTCAGGCTGGTTTCAAAATCCTGACCTCAAGTGATCTGCACGCCTCGGCCTCCCAAAGTGCTAGGATTACAGGCATGAGCCACTGCGCCCAGCCCCAACCACATTTCTTGAGGCTTGGAACTTTCAGCCTCACCTGCCGAACTCCAGGAGGCAAAAGGGACTGGAGATTGACTTAGCTACCAATGGTCAATTAATCATGCCTCCATAAAAACCCAAACAACAGGGTTTGGAGAACTTCTGTGTCGCTGAACACAAGGAGGTGCTGGGAGGGTAGCGTGCCCAACAGAGGGCATGGAAGCTCTGTGCCCCTCCCCACTTACCTTGCCCTGTGCGTCTCTTTCACTGGCTGTTCCTGAGATGGAGCCTTTACATTGAGCCAGTAACAGAAAATAAGCTGGCCAGATGAGGTGGCTCATGCCTGTAATCCTAGCACTTTGGGAGGCAGAGGTGGGGGGAAATCACTTGAGTCTAGGAATTTGAGACCAGCTTGGGCAACATAACAAGACCCCATCTATACAAAAAATAAAAGAAATTAGCCAGATGTGGTGGTGGGAACCCTGTAATTCCAGCTACTTGAGAGGCTGAGACAGGAGAATCACTTGAGCCCTGGAGGTTGAGGCTTCAATGAGCTATGATTGCACCACTGCACGCCAGCCTGGACAACAGAGCAAGGCCCTGTCTTTTAAAAAAAAAGAAAGAAAGAAAAGGAAAAACCTGTTTTTCTAAGTTCTGTGAGTTGTTCTAGCAAATAACTAAACTGAAGAAGAGAGTCATGGGAAACCCTGATTTCTAACTGGTTGGTCGAAATACAGGTGACAACCTAGGACTTGCAATTGGCATCTGAAGTAAGGGTGGTCTTGTGGGACTGAGCCCCTAACCTGTGAGGTCTGCACTAACCCCAGGTAGTGTTGGAATGGAATTGTGGAATACGCAGTTGGTATCCAGAGAGTTGGAGAACTGGTGTAGAAACTCCACACATACATTTGGTTAGAAGTGTGTGAGTAGAGAAAAACATGAGTTCTTCTCTCACCTGTCTACCTGCTTAACTGCATAGGAGAGACAATGCATGGTGCTCATGAACAAGGCAAGCATTAAAGTCAGACCAGACCTAACATTTGATTCAGTCTTAATATCCATGTGAGCTTGGGCAAATCGCTCATTAACCCCAAGTCTTCATCATTTCATGCATAAAATGGGGATAACTGTGGCACCTACCTATTTTTGTGAGAATTAATGAAATACTATGCTTGATGTTATTCTGATCATCACACTCTTTGACAAGGACAGTGATGCATGATAACACAAAAACTTAGAAACTGTAATGAGGTCTCGGGCAAAATTCCATACAAGCAAATTACTGTCTCTACAAAGCATTCCTGCCACACTTAATTCACCATTCCCTGAACAAAATGTGCCATCTTCATTGTCCAGGTCTGTACAGTGCTGGTTTCCCTGCCTGGGCTGCTCACTCCATCCCATCCCAGCCCATTCCTCATCCCTCCACGTCCCTCTTCCCTCCCCACTCTCATACAACTCTTCCTCATCTTTCAGGACCTGGCTTCAATGTCACCTTAACTGGAAGCTTCTCTCACCCTCCAGAAGAGCTTCCCATTGCACTTGATGCATGCACTATTACTTGATCATTTCTGAGTTATAGTCCAAGTCTTTTCGTACCTGGATAACATGTTGCCCAGTCAGTCTCTCTTCCTGGATTCAGAAGTCTTTCATGGTAGATCCAGCTGGAGTGACAAAAACACATTATTTAAAAAAAAAAAAAAAGAAAAGAAAAAAGAGGGATGACACAGACAGACATCAGTACTTAAAAGTTTTAAATGGTATGTGAAAAACAAACAAAATGCAAGGGCTTCCAGCAGAAACATAGGAGGGAAAGTGTTACTGGGAAATATAACAGAAGGTTACTTTTTATTTTATTTTTAGAAAAAGGGTCTTGCTCTATCGCCTAGGCTGGACTGCAGTGGTGCAATCACAGTTAGCTGAAGCCTCAACCTCCAGGGCTCGAGCAATATTCCCATCTAATTTTTATTTTATTTAAGAAACAGTCTTGCTCTTACCAAAGCTAAAGTGCAGCGGTGTGATCATAGCTTACTGAAGCCTCAACCTTCTAGGCTCAAGTGATCCTCCAGTCTTAGCCTCCCCCGTAGCTGGGACTATAGGTGTACAGTGCAATGTGTACCTCAATATTTTTTTAATTTTTAGTAGAGACAAAGTGTCGCTATGTTGACCAGGCTGGTGGTGATCTCCCACACTCAGGCAGTTCTCCCACTTAAACCTTCCAAAGTGCTGAGATTACAGGTGTGACCTGCCTGTAACACCACAGAGGTGTGACCTCACACCTGGCTGAGGGGGTTAATTTTTAATTATATAAAGAACTCAAAGAAAATATTAGAAGGAGCCTAAGTGCCTACAGCAGCTGATGAGTAAACTGTGATACATCTATATAACAAAATATTATGCAACCATGAAAAGGATTAAGATAGATCAATAGGTATTGGCACAAATGTCCACGAAATATGAAAATGTGAAGTGATGTTCAATCACCATGTATGTGTCTTGAAGGATATGGCCCATTTTCTCAATAGCAATTATTTCCTGAGATAAGATTATGGGTCTAAAGACTGAAGGAAATTTTTCACTTATTTATTTAAAAGTATTTACTGTTTTTATAATTTAATAAAAGATTAAACAGATCATCGCATTAGTAAAAGACAAATTAATTCCATAAATAAATGGAAAAGACATGGACAGCCCAGGCATGGTGGCTCACGCTTATAATACTAGTATTTTGGGAGGGGGTGGTGGGGGGATCGCTTGAGGCCAGGAGTCCCAGACCAGCCTAAGAAACAAAGCAAGACCTCGTCTCTACTAAAAATTAAAAAAAAATTGGCCAGGCATAGTGGCATGTGCCCATAAACCCAAGTACTGAGGTGGAAGGATCACCTGAGACCAGGAGGTCAAGACTGCAGTGAGTTGAGACTGTGCCACTACAAGCCTGGGAGACAGAGCGAGACTTCATCTCAAAAAAAAAAAAAAAAAAAAAAAAAAAAAAAAAAAAAGGGACAATAAAGAAAGAAAGCTAAGAAGCTAACACAAGGAAAGATAAAACGTGTGACAAATAGGCCGGGTACGTGGCTCACGCCTGTAATGCAGCACTTTGGGAGGCCGAGGCGGGTAGATCACGAGGTCAGGAGTTTGCGACCAGCCTGATCAATACGGTGAAACCCCATCTCTACTAAAAATACAAAAATTAGCCAGGCGTGGTGGTGTGTGCCTGCAATCTCAGCTACTCAGGAGGCTGAGGCAGAATTGCTTGAACCTGGGAGGCAGAGGTTGCAGTGAACCAAAATCATACCACTGTACTAGAGCCTGGGCGAGAGAGCGAGACTATGTCTCAAAAAAAAAAAAAAAAAAAAAAAAAAAAAGGTGACAAAGTAATATGAAGTCTTTTATTTATCACACAGAAAGTAACTTGTTAAATTATAATACCTGTGCCAGTGAAAGTGCAGTGAAATGGCCATTTTCTTGTACTATCACTGGTGTTTAAATTGTATATAAACCTTCCAGGATAAAGCTTGGACATTTTTTTAAAATAATACAGACAGTTACTCATTATACTGCCTCCTCCAACTCCTGACCTCAAGCAATCCTCCCACCTCAGCCTCCCAAAGTGCTGGAATTATAGGCTGACAGCCACCATGCCTGAAAGCTTGGCAATTTACATCAAGGGTAATAAGAATGCTCATACCCTGTCACTCACAGTAATCTCACTTCCGGAAATATCATCTTTGGATATAATTCAACCTAAACAAAAGGTGATATGCACAAACACAGTGAAAATCTGGGAGTAATTTTTTTCTCATTTTTTAAAAAATATGGAATGCTTCACAAATTTGCATGTCATTCTTTCACAGAGGCCTATTGTTCCAACTTAAGTACATGTGCCACTGAAGCAAGCATGAGTAATTTAAGATAGAGTGGTTAAGTGAAATAAGGAAGAGATAAAAAATCTGTGGTACTTATAGGCACCTAGTAACAGCTCAGCAAATTATTATTTTTATGGTAATTTCACTCAATTAAAAATTGTCATTAAAAATTACCATTGTCATGGAACATAATGTATCCTACATTATAATTGTAAAAACAGATACAATTTGTCCCTTGGTATATGGGGGGATTAGTTCCAGCTACCCCATTTCTGTGTATACCAAAATCCATGTGTACTCAAGTTTTCGAAGTCAGTCCTGTGGAATCCAAATATTTTAAAAATGGGAAAATTAGTGAGGTGTGGTGACAAGCACCTGTAGTCCCAGCTACCTGTGAGGTTGAGGCAGGAGGACTGCTTGAACCCAGTAGGTTGAGGCTGCAGTGAGCCATAATTGCACTACTGCAGTCCAGTCTGGGCAACAGAGTGAGACAGAAGGTTCACTTTTTAATAGAATTTTTCTGTTCACTTGAAGATATGCTCAGGACTGTGGCATAGGAAAATTTTTCATAAAATAACTATCTAATCCAATTAATGCTGGAGTTGGGGACAGAAAACGTTTTGGTGACTATTTATTCCTTCACTTGCTGTTACATAAACTATTGCCAGTAGGCATTTACCAACCAGAAGTGTCATCTCAGAGCTACTCACAATGAAAGGTGACGTCTGGGGCTCAGGTGTGTTGAGGTCCCCATGCCTGGGCTATGGGTGCTGAGTGGGACTTATTGTCCATCCATTTTCTCTATTCCAGCACTGGGAAACTTGGGTTTATCCATCTTGATAAGATGTCATTGAAATTCCACTTGGCAAGAACCACAAATGGAAGAAAGGCCATGAAACCACAGGACAGTACTTGTTCTCAAGGGAATCTTTAGCTTAAGTGGCTCTGTAAAAGAGAAAGTATATTGTTGAAAAATCATTGCAGGTCAGGTGAGGTGGCTCATACCTATAATGCCAGCCACTGGGAGACAAAGGCAGGAGGATCCCGTGAGGCCAGGAGTTCAAGACCAGCCTGGGCAACACAGTGAAACCTCATCTCTACAAAAAATTAGGAAATGAGCTGGGTGTGGTAACACATTCCTGTACTCCACGCTACTCTGGAGGCTGAAATAGGAGGATCGCTTGAGCCCAGGAAGTAGAAGCTGCAGTGAGCTCTGATCTCACCACAGAACTCCAGCCTGGGTGACAGAGTGAGACCCTGTCTCAACACACACACACACACACAGACACACACACACACACACACACACACACACAAACACACACACCCTCATCTCAGTCTGCCCAGCCTTGACTAATCAAAAGGGTCTTCTGGTTACAGAAGAAGTATGCTCTTTTATAGGACAGGGAGAGACCAGCAAGCTTGTTCACAGCCTTTTCCTCATCCTCTGCTTAGTTTCCAAGAACCCTTACAGTGAAAACAGAGTCCCTGGGAAAACAACCTAAATCTTCAGGTTACCGGGGAGAAATATGACTCCTTTGTCAATTAATAAATGGAACACCTGCCTTAAAATCCAGGGAGTTCTGCTAGAATGAATCACTCCCTAAGACCTTGACCTATGCAGGGAACACGAAAAACTGGAGTTTAACCAGGCGCGGTGGCTCACGCCTGTAATCTCAGCACTTTGGGAGGCCGAGGCGGATGGATCATCTGAGGTCAAACCTGGCCAACATGGTGAAACCCCGCCTCTACTAAAACTACAAAAATTAGCTGGGCGTGGTGGTGGACGCCTGTAATCCCAGCTACTCCGGAGGCTGAGGCAGGAAAATCACTTGAACCCAGAAGGCGGAGGTTGCAATTACTTCTAGAATTTCCATTAGCCCTTTGAAATCCTTCAACATTCATTAAGGTCAAAGAGTTGTCACCTAATTTAATCTGATGGGTATGTGACCAGAGTCTTTCTAGGGAATAGAGACTCCCAAACTGTTCAGCTGGGAAGTGAGGAGATAATTTAATACTCAAAATCAAAGGGAAACGAAAAGAGGCCAACCTAGAGCATCATTATTCTTTCTTGGCAGGGAATGGATTCCAGAGTCATTCTGTGACCTTTACGTTCTGTGACCTCCTTATTAGCATCTAAAAGCTTCCAGTGTAGGATGCAGCCAGCTAGGTTCTCTTCTAATGTAATAAAATCTGCTTCAGCAAAGCTTATACAGAGCCATCTCCAGACTCCAGAAATAATAGGCTATAAATTACAGGATCTCTCCCATTTGATATAATGAAGTATAAGCACGCTCCTGAATGACTCCTCTACATACTACTCTGAGTGACTTGAAGTGAATCTGATACAAGTACTGGAGCGAGCGCAAAGCAGAGCTACATCTAGGATTAATGTGCTTGGGCCCAGCTCCTCACTACTCACCTATGAGTACAGTTCCAGAACCTAAGTAGAGGGTGGGGGAACAAGGCTCCTGGCTTTTTTCCCTAATGCCTGACATCTCTTTCAGATTTCTTATTTCTTTGCAAAGAAACTAAACAGGCACGACTAAAAAAACTAAACGATTAAACCCTACACAGAGAATCTCCAAAAATTCACAAAATATCATTCAAGACTGTTAGAAAGACAGCCTTGAGGATAACTTGATGTACCAGTGATCTACAATATTTGGGATCATTCCAAATTCCCGTCAAGGATCTGCCTATATCAACACAGGGACAAAGGACCAACCATTCAAATAGGCCCTGCTGCCAAAATGCCATCTCTTCATATTGTTCCATTTAACAAAACTGCAGCCTGTCATCTATCCTTAAGTCCCTTGGCCAATGGTACAGAGCCAGAGTATGCTACTCCCTAGCAGGAAATCAACAGGATGACCTACTAAACACCATTCAGAAGATGCTAAGGCCCATGAATTGCAACAGGAAAGAAAAGACACATTATTAGTCAGACAGGTACATGCTGGGCCAAAAATGCACTACAACCCCCACCCAATTCTGCCTAATCCTAGCTGGGCTGACACCAACCTGATGAGACAGGCCTGTAAGATCTCAAACTAAAACAGAAACTCCTGAACTGGGTTCTTGAGAACCCAGGAAGCAGCAGTAAACCATTAAAGAACTATTAAGGTCTGGAGGTGAGGGGGGAGTTTCAGATAAATGAAATGCTGGTAGAACACAGGGCCCAAAGGAGCAAAAGTTAACCTAAGCCCAGGTAGAACCTTGTTTACCAGAGTACTAGGCACGGGGTGTGGCAACTATTCTAACCAAAGAGGCTCCACTGGGGTTGGGTTAGCAATCCAAGGTATGGTATGCATAGGGCTGGTGGAATTCAGGGGGACTGAAACAAAAGCTTCAGAACCAGAAAGACTATATCTGGGGACAGAGCACAAAACTCTCAAGAGATGAATCTTTGTAAGAGTGAGGCAGAACTATATAGCAGTTTCAGGAGATCTGCTGGTGCCCAGCAAGAGCTCCAAATGGGTTATATGCAGGGATGCAGGCTGTAGTCTCAGAAGAGGAGGTTCACAAAAGTCATTCAGTCCAAGACCCCAAACTGTGTTCTCTACTAACAGGAATTAAGGCCCCCTAGAGAAATGGCTGACTCCATGTATGGTACAGTATATTGATCCTGGAACATCTTTTTTGCCAGAAAGCAAGGAAGTCATCAAAGTCCAACAGGATCACATCAAAAAGACAGGAGAGTCAACTTGAAGAGATAATTATTAACCTCGATGAGACAATGTAAGCATCCAAAACAATAAAGACAACAATGGCCTGAAATACATCAAATGCAAACAATAATCTATGAGTTCATGATGATATTCAGAAAAAAAAACTATTGGTCACTAAAGGGAAGGTTACTAGGTCACTAACTTACTACTCTGAAAAGTGACTTAAAATGAGAGGTAGTGTGGAGCTATTTATTCAGTTTTTCCCTTACAAACATAAATTTTTAGGGAGATTAAAGTAGATGAAACAAATCTGGAAAAATGGAGGTAACTGCTTAATCGGAGGGTTGGGTACGTGGAGGTTCATCCTATTTCTTTTGTGTATGTTTGAACCCCCTACAAAAAAAGCACAAGACAGAATGTGAGCCAAGCAGCTTAGGGTTTAGGCAAGGCTTCTGCCTACAAGAGACACTAGGATATGAGGGGTAGTTTTAGCCCTGATGGGCTGAGCCAACTGGAGGTACATAGGGAGGTGCTAAATTGCAGAGGTATCATGTTGCCCAGCACTTGATCGAATCCTAGATGCTAGGACTGCTTGGTAGCATGCTTCCTAGGTGGTAGATCTGAGGCTACCTACAGAACTTCCTTTGTAGTCATAATTGGCTCAGAAACTACAAAAGGGCTTGCTCTTGAAAATGGAGTCAGTCTTTGTCCATTTCATGCTGCTATAAAAGAATGCCACAGACTGCATAATTTAGGAGAAGGAAAAAAAGAAGGAAGGAAGGAAGGGAGGGAGGGAGGGAGGGAAGGGAAGGGAAGGGAAGGAAGGGAGGGAAGGAGGGAAAAAGGGAAGGCGGGAAGGAGGAAGGGGAGGAAGGGAAGGAAGGGAAGGGAAGGAAGAGAAGGAAGGGAAAGAGGGAAGGAGGAAGGGAAGGAAGGTGGGAGGGGGAGAGAGAGGAGGGGGGGGAAGGGAAGAGAACGGAAGAACAGGGAAGGGAAGGGAAGGGAAGCGACGGGAATGGAAGGAATGGAATGGAACGGAACAGAACAGAACAGAACAGAAAGGAAAGGAAAGGAAAGGAAAAGGGGAAAGGAAGAAACTTTATTTCTTATAGTTCTGGATGCTATGAAATCCAAGGTTGAGGGGCCTGCATCTAGTAGGGATCTTCTTGCTGCATCATCCCACGACAGAAGGCAGAAGGACAACAGAGTGCAAGACAGCAAGAGGGCAAAAGGGGCTGAACTCTCTTTTATAATAAGACCACTCTGTGGTTACTTATCTATTACCATAATAACAACATTAACTCATTCGTGAGGGCTCTCTTATTAGGCCCCACATCCCAACTGTTGCATTGAGGATTGAGTTTCCAGCACATAAACTTTGGGGGACACACTTAAACCACAGCAGAGCACTTATGTAAATTCAACCAAGAGGTGCTGGGAAAATCAAAGGCATGAGAAAGAGAGCAAAGGCTAGCAGAGAAATACGCGCAGGTTAAGGAAAAAAGTCACAATGAATCCTGTAGTGCAGGCTACTTTATCAAAAGCACCTAAAAAAAAAGATCTCATTAACTGCCCCAACTCACCTCCACCCACATCTAAAGGGCCACACACAGCACCACCAAAGGCAGCACAATGAGAACAGCATTCTCCTCAACAGACGAGCTGTGAGTATCCATACATCTAACTCAATAGCTCCAGAACAGCCCTAAAACAGCTCCTCCCCAACCACCACTCAAGTCACCAGCTGGGAAAGTATTCAGAAAACCCAAATCCTGACACACCACTACCAAACAACTTAAACGGCAAAGAACAACCCATTTAAACAGCAATGCCAGTTGCCGGGAAAAAAAAGGAACAATGAGTAGAGGAAAAGCAGACCTCTTGGGGTCCACCAAGACCCAGTCTCTCAGCTTCAGCACTTTCAAATGCAGAATCCTCTGGGGCCTGTGGAGCTCCACGAGGCATGTTGTCCTCAAAGATAAATAAGCAGGCAAGCTGGCTAGAAAATTACTAAGGGTATTATTCTTCAAAGAATCTTTATAGGGTCAAAGAGGAATGCGTCTTACGGGCTATGTGTATTCCCCGCAGATTCTGAGGATGATGTCAGTATCCCTTTCCAGATGTGTTGAACAATTTGTGGTCACTTGTATTCCTGCCACTGAGTACCAGTGCTTTGCTAATTTGAACTGATTCCAGCTCACACTGACCCCGGCTCCCTGGATCTGGTTACCATTAGCCAAGACTGTCATCCATATTGTACCCTTTCAAAGAGTCCTAAAAACAGCTCTTCGCCTACTCTTCCAAGACAAATAAAAATGTCTGCCAAAGAAATGGGGAAGCCGGGCGCGGTGGCTCAAGCCTGTAATCCCAGCACTTTGGGAGGCCGAGACGGGCGGATCACGAGGTCAGGAGATCGAGACCATCCTGGCTAACACAGTGAAACCCCATCTCTACTAAAAATACAAAAACTTAGCCGGGCGAGGTGGCAGGCGCCTGTAGTCCCAGCTACTCGGGAAGCTGAGGCAGGAGAATGGCGTAAACCCGGGAGGTGGAGCTTGCAGTGAGCTGAGATCCGGCCACTGCACTCCAGCCTGGGTGACAGAGCGAGACTCCGTCTCAAAAAAAAAAAAACAAAAAAAAGAAATGGGGAAAAAAGATTGAAAGAGAGAAAACAATTAACATTCTAACAAGAGAGCAAAAAGCGAAGGGGGAGGAGAAACTAGGAAAATCATACATGGGCTCACACCTATTTCCAAAGCTGAGCTAATATTCTTTTGCTTGTGTCTGAGTAAGTCACCAATTTTAAACTGCTAATGAAAAAAAAAAGAAAAAGAGAATGAAAGAAGCAGGCCCAGGCCGGGCACGGTGCTAGGATTAAAGTGCCGTAATCCTAGCACTTTGGGAGGACGAGGCGGGTGGATCACCCAAGGTCAGGAGTTCAAGACCAGCCTGGTCAACCTGGTGAAACACCATCTCTACTAAAAATACAAACAATTAGCTGGGCATGGTGGCGCATGCCTGTAAACCCAGCTACTCAGGAGGCTGAGCAGGAGAACAGCTTGAACCCAGAAGGCAGAGAATGTGATGACCTGAGATCACACCATTGCCCTCAAGCCAGGGCAATGAGAGCAAAACTCGGTCTCAAAAGAAAAAAAAAAGCCATAAAATAACTCAGATTTCATTAAATACAACCCTAGTGGTGAATGACTATTGGTCAACAATAAAAAAGATGGATTACTCAGAACAGAGATTAAGAGTCCAGTAAGAATCCAGGAATCTTACCCTTAAATAATGAAAGAAATCCTTTCCTTGGAAAGTAATATCCTCTCAGGCCAGGAACTCCACTAGTAGACAGCCTTCTTAAAAAAAACATTTCTGGCCGGGCATGGGTTCATGCCTCTAATCCCAGTACTTTGGGAGGCTGAGGCAGGAAGATCACCTGAGGTCAGGAGTTCGAGACCGGCCTGGCCAACATGGCGAAACCCCATCTCCACTAAAAATACAAAAATTAGCCTGGCATGGTGCTGAGCACCTGTAATCCCAGCAACTCGGGAGGCTAAGGCAGAAGAGTCACTTGAACCCAGGAGGCAGAGGTTGCAGTGAGCCAAGGTCACGCCATTGCACTCCAGCCTGGGCGACAAGAGTGAAAACTCTGTCTCAAAAAAAAAAAACATTCCTTTGGGAAGAACTTCTACATAAAAATCTTCAACATGAGACTGGAAAAAACAGTATGGGATCATCCCCGGACCGTTGGCTTTTACAGTTGGAGCTGTAAGAACAAAAAGAAAAAAGGATGTCATTTAAACACAATATGTAGAAAAGAATAATTATTAAATCTGTATTGGTCTTTAACTTTCATACTTTGATCTTTAATTCTGTTATTGTAATTGAGTCCAAAGAAAAATAGTATGAGTAAAATAAAAAGAACACCATAAATGCTAATATTCTGTTTATCAAAGTCTGCAGTGAAATATCCCATTAAATCCAAGTGCAGTGACTTACACCCATAATCCCAGCACTTTGGGAGGCTGAGGCCGGTGAATCTCCTGAGGTCAGGAGTTCGAGGCCAGCCTGGTCAACATGGTGAAACCCCAACGCTACTACAAATACAAAAATTAGGCAGGCGTGGTGGCAGGGGCCTGTAATCCCAGCTACTCAGGAGGCTAAGGCAGGGAGAATTGCTTGGACCCAGGAGGTGAGCTTGCCATGAGCTGAGATCACACCACTGCACTCCAGCATGGGTGACAGAACAAAACTCCATCTTAAAACAAAAACACACACACACACACACAAAACAGGTAGCACATGACATTTGCTATGGGGAGACTAGGGATATGATCTTGCTGCAATCCTTCTTCCATTTTAGTAATTGCAAACAGTGTGATTCCATTCTGTTTCGTCCCCACTCCACTCCAGAGCCAAAACAAGAAAATCAATTATATTTCTATTTTTTTAAAAACATATCTAACTAAATCATCTAATTAAAAGATAATATGCACGGCTCCATACTAGTAAAAAAAACTTCTTATGTCCTGAGTATCATGGACATTTGATGAATGCTTGTTCAGCTGACTGGTGTAGACTTCAATAATAACCTGTTCGATGCATTACGCCACATTAATCTTACATCTCAAAAGTAGGACAAATACTGTTCTTTCAGTTTTGTCTACCCAAAATGTAGTATTTACACATATTTAAAAATGGGTTAATAAAAAGAAAATGAGTTTGTTCTAGAGAGTATGAGAATTTTGAAAACATGAATTCTCCTGTCCTGGCACATAATTAATACTTAGAGGCATATTATTTCATGTGAAAGCTACCATTAAAAGAAATTAATGTTAAACGTTACTTCACATAATCTTCTAACCTGACTAAAGACTGAAGACCTACCTCACAAAGCTGATTTATCAAGTTGTAAATCTTCACCTGTTGAATTCATAAGTTCATCTCTGAAAGGTAAGAATAAATACTTAATATTCACTAGGCAATATTCAGCAAAGTAATATCCACTAGCACATATTTAACATTTCATCACCAAGGGTGGGTGTGAAAAGAAAAGACAGACTGGGCACCGTGGCTCACACCTGTAATCCCAGCACTTTGGGAGGCCGAGGTAGGCAGATCTTGAGGTCAGGAGTTCGAGACTAGCCTGACCAACATGGTGAAACCCCCGTCTCTACTAAAAATACAAAAATTAGCCAAGTGTGATGGCAGATGCCTGTAATCCTAGATACTCAGGAGGCTGAGGCAGGAGAATTGCCTGAACCCAGGAGGCAGAGATTGCAGGGAGCCAACATCATGCCACTGTACTCTAAGCCTAAGTGAAAGACCAAGTCTCCATCTCAGGAGGGAAAAAAATAATTAATTAATTAATTAATTAAGAAAAGACAAGACAATCGGGATGCTTGAGCACAGCTAAATCTTCTTTTGAGGTTTCTATACATTAACCAAACAAAATAATAATTGCAAATGGTCTCATCAGGTACTTCGTGGAGGATGTGTCCTCACAAATAAACTGGTAACTTTGCAACCCACAGGTCTTTGAAACATATTACAATAATCTTAAATGGGATCCTTTAATATCACATTGCATTCAAGACTATCTTTCTCTACACATCTATAAAAATCATTTATTCCCACATAGGCTTTAAAATCTCAGGCTTAAAAACAAGACATGGATACTATTTTCTTTAGCAAAAGTAGCAGAAAACTGTGAAAGAAAATGTCAATTGCGTGCCAGTCAGGTGAGGGCAGTCTTCACGTTTTAAAAGCTAACACTGGCATGACTTACTCAATGTTGGACCCAGATAAATTAAAAAGTGGAAGATAAAAATACCTAAAATAGGCCCGGTGCAGTGGCTCACGCCTGTAATCCCAGCACTTTGGGAGGCTGAGGCAGGCAGATCACCCGAGGTCGGGAGTTCAAGACCAGTCTGACAAACATAGACAAACCCCAACTCTACTAAAAATACAAAATTAGACAGGCATAGTGGCACGTGCCTGTAATGCCAGCTCCTCGGGAGGCTGAGGCAGGAGAATCGCTTGAACCCAGGAGGCAGACATTGCATGGAATCGAGATCGCACCATTGCATTTCAGCCTGGGCAAGGACAGCAAAACTCCATCTCAAAAAAAAACAAAACAAAACCATAAAATAACTCAGACTTAATTAAATATAACCCTGGTGGTGAATAAATATTTGTCAACAATAAAAAAAAATTTATTACTCAGAACAGAGAGGAGAGTCCAATAAGAATCCAAGAGTCTTACCTTTTAATAAAAAAATGAATCCATTCCTTTGACAGCAATATCCTCTCCAGGCCAGGAATTCCATTAGTAGACAGTCTTCTTTAAAAAAATTCCTGGCAGGGCATAGTGGTTCACATCTGTAATCCCAGCACTTTGGGAGGCTGAGGCAGGAGGATCATCTGAGGTCAGGAGTTCAAGACCAGCCTGGCCAACATGCTGAAACCCCGCCTCTACTAAAAATACAAAAATCAGGCTGGCATGATGGTGGGCGCCTGTAATCCCACCTACTCGGGAGGCTGAGGTAGGAGAATCACACGAACCCAAGAGGCAGAGGTTGCAGTGAGCCAGGATCACGCCATTGCACTCCCGCCTCAGCAAGAAGAATGAAAACCCCATCCCCCACCACAAAAAAAAAGTTCCTTTGGAACGGCCTTCTACATAAAGATCTTCAACATGACACTGGAAAAAAGGGTATGGGATCATCACTGGACCTTTGGCTTTTACAGCTTGAGTTATACGGACAAAAAGAAAAAGGGATATCATTTAAACACAATATGTAGAATAGAATAACTATTAAATCTGTATTGGTCTTTAACTTTTATACTTTTATCTTTACTTCTGTTAATATAATTGAGTCTAAAGAAAAATAGCAATAAAATAAAAATATTATTGTTCAAAACATTGAACAATTATACTCTGTTCAATGCATTATGCCAGATAAATCTTGCATCTCAAAAGTAGGACAAATACTGTTCTTCCAGTTCTGTCTACCCGTAAATGCAATATTTACATGTATTCGTAATGGGTTAATAAAAAGAAAATGAGTTCATTGTTCTAGAGAGTATGATAATTTTGACAACATGAATTCTCTTGTCCTGGCACATAATTAATACTTAGAGGCATATTATTTCATGTGGAGGGTACCATTAAAAGAATTCAATGTTAAACCTTAAATAATGACTGAAATAAAAACAACAGCAAAAATGCTAATATTCTGTTTATCAAAGTCTGTAGCGAAATATCCCATTAAAGCCGGTTGTCGTGACTCACACCCGTAATCCCAGCAGTTTGAGAGGCCAAGGCGGGTGAATCACCTGAGGTCAGGAGTTCGAGACCAGCCTGGCCAACAGTGAAACCCCATCTCTAGTAAAAATACAAAAAGTAGCCAGACATTGGGGAGGGCGCCTGTAATCCCAGCTACTCAGGAGGCTGAAGAAGGAGAATCGCTTAAACCCGGGAGGCGGAGGCTGCAGTGAGCCAAGATCACGGAATTGCACTCCAGCCCAGGCAACAAGAGCTAAACTCTATCTCAAAACAAAACAAAACAGACAAACAAAAAACAGTAAGAGAAAACTGGAGCTAAGTCCTACTCATTGTATTTACTTTCCTAAAATAAAACAACATTATTAAAAAAATTATGGCCAAGCCCAGTGGCTCATGCCTGTAATCCCAGCGCTTCGTGAGGCCAATGTGGATAAATCACATGAGGTCAGGAGTTCAAGACCAGCCTGGCCAACATGGTGAAACCTCAACTCTACTATGATTACAAAAATTAGGAAGGCATGGTGGCAGGTGCCTGTAATCCCAGCTACTTGGGAGGCTGAGGCAGGTAGAATTGCTTAAACCCAGAAGGTACAGCTTGCCATGAGCTGAGAACACACTACTGCACTGCAAGGGCAACAAAACAAAACTCCATCTTAAAAAAAAAAAAAAAAAAGAACTGCTAGCAGGTGCAATTATTCACAATATGTAGAAATTATTCTTTTCTACATACTGTGTTTAAATGATATCCATTTTTCTAATTGTTCTTATAGCTCAACCTGTAAAAGCCAAAGGTCCAGGGAGATGGGATATGATCTCACTGGCTATCCTTCCATTTTAGCAAATCTAAACAGTGTCATTCCATTCTGTATCGTCCCCACTCCAGAGCCAAAACAAGAAAATCAATTATACTTCTATTTCTTTAAAAACCTATCTAACTAAATCTAATTAAAAGATAATATGCATGGCTCTACACTCTAAAAGAAAACCTTCTGTCCTACGTATCATGGACATATGACAAATGCTTGTTCAGTTGACCGGTGTAGACTTCAATAATAATCTGTTCAATGCATTACACCAGATAAATCTTGCATCTCAAAAGTAGGACAAATACTGTTCTTCCAGTTCTGTCTACCCGTAAATGCAACATTTACATGTATTTGTAATGGGTTAATAAAAAGAAAATGAGTTCACTGTCCTAGAGAGTATGAGAATTTTGACAACACGAATTCTCTTGTCCTGGCACATAATTAATACTTAGAGGCATATTATTTCATGTGGAGGGTACCATTAAAAGAATTCAATGTTAAACCTTAAATAATTATTTCACATAATCTTCTAATCTGACTTAAGATTGAAGACCTACCTCCTGAAGCTGTTTAATCAAACTGTAAATCTTCACCTGTTGAATTCGTAAGTTCATTTCTGAAAGGTAAGAATACTTAATATTCACCAGGCAACATTAAGCAAAATAATATCCACTAGTACTTATTTAACATTTCATCACCAAGGGTGGTTGTGATAAGAAAAGACAGGCTGGACACAGTGGCTGATGCCTTTAATCCCAGCACTTTGGAAGGCTGAGGCAGGCAGATCACGAGGTCAGGAGTTCGAGGCCAGCCTGCCCAACATGGTGAAATCCTGTCTATACTAAAAATACAAACATTAACCAGGCATGGTGGCAGGCACCTGTAAGCCCAGCTACTCAGGAGGCTGAGACAAGAGAATTGCCTGAACCCAGGAGGCAGATGTTGCAGAAACCACGATCACACCACTGCATTCCAGCCTGGGTGAAACAGCAAGATTCTGTCTCAATCAATCAATCAATAAAAATGTAAGGAGGAAGCATTTACTGTGCATGTATATGCCTGGTATTATATGAAGCACTTTAGTGTCTTATCAAATTTCAGGATAGATCTTCAGTTCTCATGACCACAAAAGAGGACACTAAAGCTCAGACAGGAGAAGAGACAGTGGCCAGCTGTGTCCCCAGAGCCTACAGTCCTTACCCACCAGGTGAGACGTTACACTGGTTCCAGGTATCACATGTTGTGAGATTTTTACTTTAAAATGAACCAAAAAAAAAAACAAACGCAAAAAAGGCACAAGCTATTAAAAAGTGGGAGAAACACTAAGAGAACCTTAAGCACATAACTAAAAATATTATGGAAATGTTACTGAATTCACTAGCAATTTAATTCTAGATTTTTCATTGAGGAGTACGTTATAATTATTCATGATGAGGAAAAAATGTTCACTTAAGTATATTAACATAAATACCATCAATATGATTTATCATGATTAACGTTCACTTAAGGCAATTCAGTCAAAATTCTGCATCTCATACAATTTATAGTTTGCTAATAGGTTACAAGTAGTCACCAAATAAAAACAGGTAAAACACATGATGTTCCACTGGTTATTGCTCTTTTTAGGTAAGCACTTTGGTTATTGCTCTTTTTAGGTAAGCACTTGATATATACCAACAGACAGAGGATAATAACAAATTGCTAATTTCTTTCATCATTATATAAAGGTGGCTTCAGGATAGAATAGTATAAGTGCAATGACGAATTTGAAATCTAATGTCAACTCAGTGATGCATCAAGATAAAAGCAGAGACAATAGGGGCACCTTGGTGAGTACTGAGTTTTTATTTATTTATTTATTTATTTTGAGATGGAGTTTTGCTCCTTTTGCCCAAGCTAGAGTGCAATGGTGCAATCTCGGCTCACCACAACCTCTGCCTCACGGGTTAAAGCGATCCTCCTGCCTCAGCCTCCCGAGTAGCTGGGATTACAGACATGTGCCACCACGCCCATATAATTTTGTATTTTTAGTAGAGACGGGGTTTCTCCATGTTGGTCAGGCTGGTCTTGAACTCCCGACCTCAAGTATCTGCCTGTCTCGACCTCCCAAAGTGCTGGGATTACAGGCGTGAGCCACCACACCTGGATGAATACCCAATTTAATGAAGCAGACTAAGAGAAACAATTCATTTTAAAAAATAACATTTGGCCAGGCATGGTGGCTCACACCTGTAATCCCAGCACTTTGGGAGGCTGAGGCAGGTGGATCAGTAGGTCAGGAGTTCAAGACCAGCCTGGCCAAGATCATGATACCATCTCTATTAAAAATACAAAAATCAGCCAGGCGTAGTGGCTGGCGCCTGTAATCCCAGCTGCTCAGGAGGCTGAGGCAGAGAACTGCTTGAACCCGGGAGGCAGAGGTTGCAGTGAGCAGAGATCACACCACTGTACTCCAGCCTGGGTGACACAGTGAGGCTCTGTCTCAAAAAAAAAAAAAATAATAATTCAATGAAATCCCTAAGATGAAGGGCTTTGCAATACATATGTAAATAAATTCCCAATCTCCATGCTGAAAGTTTAAAAAAATTCTAATAATTAAAGAAACACAACTTTTCCTTAGCTTTGTAGCAATTTAGAAACAGAGAATGTTTCCAATATTTAGACACTACAAAGCACCTGACAAGGAGAAACGTGTAAGGAGGCATGACTCACCAGCAGCCCTGGGCCTGTCCATGGTACCCCCATGATGAAGAGTAACTCCACTGTGTAAATGCTCATGAACACAGGATTACAGGACTTTTCCAGTTTAGACATACCATATTTTCTTTCAGACAATTCTTCAACTTGCTTATGTACATCAGCAATACGATTATTCCATTTCTCTGAAAACTGAGCAAAAGCTGATTCTCAATAATATGTCCCTATGTCAGAGCAGCACTAACATGTAAGAACTTATTTCATATATTTTACATTCTAACAGTCCACATCATTTTACTGCTTTGAAAAAAATTTTTCCCTTTTTTGGTGGTTCTTAGAATTGGTTTAATGAGAGACTATTAGAGAAGTTGAAAAGCAAGAGGGCAGAAAAGTTCAATCAAATTAAACACGGTAACAGGGAGGCCACAAAGAGGAGGTCTCCAGGGGTCTTTTAGCAAACTTCCTAAAACTTGTCTCAGCTGTGTGGAAATAAGTCTTTACAGCAGCCGGGTGTGGTGGTGCAGGCCTGTAATCCTAGCACTTCAGCAGCAGAGGCAGGCGGATCTCTTTGAGCTCAGAGTAACATAGCCAAAATCCCCCTCCCCACCCCCACCTATCTCTACCAAAAATACAAAACAGCCAGGCATGGTGGTGGGTGCCTATAGTCCCATCTACTCAGGAGGCTGAGGCAGGAGAATCACTTGAACCCAGGAAGCAGAAAGCAAGAGGGCAGAAAAGTTCAATCAAATTAAACACGGTAACAGGGAGGCCACAAAGAGGAGGTCTCCAGGGGTCTTTTAGCAAACTTCCTAAAACTTGTCTCAGCTGTGCGGAAATAAGTCTTTACAGCAGCCGGGTGTGGTGGTGCAGGCCTGTAATCCTAGCACTTCAGCAGCAGAGGCAGGCGGATCTCTTTGAGCTCAGGGTAACATAGCCAAAACCCCCCTCCCCACCCCCACCTATCTCTACCAAAAATACAAAACAGCCAGGCATGGTGGTGGGTGCCTATAGTCCCATCTACTCAGGAGGCTGAGGCAGGAGAATCACTTGAACCCAGGAAGCAGACGTTGCAGTGAGCCAAGACCATGCCACTGCCAGCCTGGAAGACAGAGCAACACTCCACCTCAAAAAAGAAAAAACAAAAACAAAAACAAGGTTAAAAGGGACCCCAGACCTTAAAGGTACAAGTTTAAGAGGGACCCCTAAGCAAAAAATGCCAACCCTTTTTCTCTCAATCTTTGCAACACCAGGAGGGTGTAACAGTTTTGCAGCCTAGCTGTAGCAGGCTGATGCCCCCAAGATGCCCATATCCTAATCCCGGAAACTGGTGAACATGACCTTGTATGGCAAAAGGGGCTTTGCAGATATAATGAAGTTAAGGGTCTTTGGCTGGCTTGTACTGGCGGGGTTAATGTACTCACCCGGATCCTTATAAGAGCAGAGAAGGTGATGGAGAGGGTGGGAGGTGTAGTGACGGAAGCAGGAAACTCCAGTCATTCAGGACATGCAGCACAAGCTGAGAAGTGCAGGCCGCCTCCAGGGCCAGGAGACAGATTCTCCTGCAGAGCCTCGGAAGGCAACAACCCTGCTCCCACCTTGCTTCAGTGGGACTTACTTTAGAATTCTGGTCTTCAGAACTGTAGGGGAATACATTCGTGTTGTTTTAAGTCACTGTGTGGTAATTTGTTGCAGCAGCCACGGGAAACTAGTATTGTAGTGAAGCCTCAAAACCCATCTGAAGGGGCTGGGCTCAGTGGCTCATGTCTGTAATCCCAACACTTTGGGAGGCTGAGGAGGGCAGATCACTTGAGGTCAGGAGTTCGAGACCAGCCTGGCCAACGTGGTGAAATGCCGTCTCTACAAAAAATACAAAAATTAGCCGGGCACAGTGGCACATACCTGTAATCTCAGCTACTCAGGAGGCTGAGACATGAGAATTGTTTGCACCCAGGGTGGGGGGGTGGAGGCTGCAATGAACTGAGATTGCACCACTGCACTCCCGCCTGGGTGACAGACCAAGGCTCCATCTCGAAAACAAAAACAAAACAAAACAAAAAAACCCACCTGAAGAAGTTTCCAGTTCTGCCAGCAGTCCCCCACCCAACCCTCGGAAGCAGACATTCCATTGCTGTGGGCCATGGACAGGCAAAACGAAGCGCCTCCTCCTGACAGAGGCCTACCCAGGAGAAACCCAAGGGAAGGCACTGCCTGGCCAGGCTCTCTGCCAAAGCCATATTATGGTGTTTTTTGTTTTTGTTTTTGTTTGAACACAGTTTCACTGTGTCTCCCAGACTGGAGTGCAGTGGCACAATCTCGGCTCACTTCGACCTCTGCCTCCCCAGTTTAAGCAATTCTCCTGCCTCAGCCTCTTGAGTAGCTGGGATTACAGGAACATAGTATGCCTAGCTAATTTTTATATTTTAAGTAGAGATGGGGTTTTGCCATGTTGCCCAGGCTAGACTTGAACGCCTTACCTCAAGTGATCCACCTGTCTCAGCCTCCCAAACTGCTGGGATTACAGGAGTGAGCCACCGCACCCAGCACTCGCCAAGGCAGGCTTTTTCCAGGGGATCAGTCCTGGTCTGGTCTGGCTCTGCCCACTCTCCCTCTCACCTAGCTGGAATCCCTAGCTCCTTCTCAGTAGAGGAGTGTGGACCCCAACCCCAGCTTGGTATGGTTCAGATCTGCGTTTCACTCATGGAACCTGGCTGCTCCCCAGGCCCTGGAGAAAAACAGGTCTCTCTGCAGGTATGATACAGGATGGGCCTGTCCCCAGGACCCTGTGAGAGGGAAGCCCAATGTCCCACCAGACTGGCAGAGCTGGGAAAGAGAAAGTTTTATGATAGCCCTAAGGAAAAAAAGAGGCAGCAGAGGAAGCAGGACAGCACTCACATGGAACCCATGTGGCTGCCTCAGTGAGGTGAGGGAGGAGTGCACCCCAGTGACATGAGGGGGAAGAGAGGCGCGGTTCCAGGGCAGCTTTCCCCCTCATTTCCTGCCATGTTACTCTGATCCCCTCCAGGTGAGCCTGCCCACTTTGTGCCCAGGAGCCTGTAGAAAAACACAGCTCCAAATGGTTATGGCCCCAGGAGTGGGGCACAGCAGGGAGGAGACCTGGACAGAGGACAGGCAGGGGAGGAGGGAGTGGGCCTCAAACTCCTGGAGGGGGCCCTTCTCATGGGTCCTCCTTTTTGGCTTCTCCTTCTTTACCCTGGGCTGATCACCCAGGGAAGAACTGAAGCAAGGTTTCTCACCCTCAGGTCCAAGGGGTTCAACTACGGGGCCCTTAGGGAAGTGTGAGCCCCCTGAAAGGATGCAAGGGTTTTTCTTTGGAGATGGAGTTTCGCTCTTGTCACCAAGGCTGGAGAGCAGTGGTGCAATCTCACCTCACTGCAACCTCTGCCTCCCGGGTTCAAGTGAATCTCCTGCCTTAGCCTCCAGAGTAGCCTGTAAGGTGTAAGGCCACCAGTAAGGTGGCTGCCACCACGCCTAATTTTTTGCATTTTTAGTAGAGATGGGGTTTCACCATGTTGGGCACGCTGGTCTCGAACTCCTGACCTCAGGTGATCCGACCGGCTCGGCCTCCCGAAGTTCTGGGATTACAGGCGTGAGCCACTGCGCTTGGCCGCAATGCAAGGTTTTGCATGGAGAGCATGTACATGCCTTTCTGGAAAACAGTCCACAGCTTATTCTCAGCAGGCTCCACAGTCAAAAAAGGTTAGAACTCTTGCTACAGAGCTGTGGGAGCACCTAGGTGAGGGGCCTGCCAAGGGCATTCTGGGGACTACCTGGGCACCCCTGAGCCCACTGTCCCCTAGGCAGGCTGCACTGCTTGGTATTTGCAGAGCTGAGGGGGTGGGGCACGTGGGGACTGTGAAATTGCCCTGAGATGACCCACAGTCCTCAGCTGGGAAGTGAGGGGTGCATCTCCTGCAGCATCCTCCATCCCTAGACCATGGGGCCAGGAGAACTGATCCTTTCAGCAAGTCAAAAGCCTATTACTGACTTCTTCCCTGGCCATGTAGACAGTGAACCAGGGTAGTCATATCAAGTAAATGTCTTGGTCCTGTCACCGAGGTGACCAGTAGGCATTCCCAGGTGCAGTGAAGGTCCTGACACCAAGATATGCACCTGGCCACCTGAGGAAAGAGAAAGGACTATCTGAGGGGATGGGGCTGAGCTGAGTGTGGAGTGGTCCTTGTGGGTCTTGGTGAATGGGAGGGGGAGCAGCATGATCCAGACCTTGAGGCTGAAGGACAACCAAGAGACAGCCTGGAAAATGTGCTGGACCCACAAGGGCTCAAGGCTGGCCAGAGAGGGAGGTGGGATAGGCTGGAAAGTCCTGAGGTCTGAAGATTGGCCCTGGCAGAAAGAAGCCAGGTAAGGTGGGGTGTTACCTGCACCCTGGGGGCCAACTGCAGGCCAGATCAGGCCAATTACCGGGCCCTTAGGGAGATGTGAGCCCCTTGAAATGGTGGAAGGTTTTTTTTTTTTTTTTTGAGACGGAGTTTCGCTCTTGTCGCACAGGCTGCCACCTTTGCCCAGAGCAGGCACCAACATTTCTGGCTCTGGGTGTGACCTCAGAATGGGGAAAAGCCCCAACCCCCACCAGGACCACCTGCCGCCTAGACTACTTCAGATGCTGAACCCAAGCCAGGGGCAGGAAGCTAGAATGACACCTAGGTTAATCCCGATAAAGTCCCTGGCTCCCCCCAGCTATGGGGCTGAAGGGGAATTACAGCCCAAACCCCAGATGCTGACTCTCCAACACTGAGCCCTCAGTGCCCACAGGGAGATAGAATCAGCACACTATCCAGATGGGGAAATGGGCTCAGAGAAGTGCAAGAGCCTTGCCCAATGCCCCAGACCAGGGCTCCAGACCCACAGGGTTCTTTTGTCACTGTGTCCAGAGGGCAGCAGCTGCTCTGAGGTACCCACCTGAACCTGGCAGCTTTCTCCAACTTCGGAAGCCCAGGAGCATGGCCCATGTCCACAGATGCACCGGCATGAGGTGCGCCCAGAGGGACAGAGGCAGATGAGTTTTGTCTCCTCCACTGGATTGTGAGGGCCTAGAAGGAGACAAGGGTCTGCTTGAGAAGGCACTGAATAGTGAGCAACTTGGGGCGGTTTCCCTCTGGATGGATCTGCAGTGCCTGGATGGAACCTGGCTCAGACAGAGCTCAGTTCTGCAGGTCCCTGAGGCATGGAGAGTTCACAGCTACCAAGTGTACGAGTCTGGATTCAAAGCCAACAAACAGCATGACTTGAAAGTCCCTGCCCTACCTGGACCACTCACCTCTTGGGAGTCACCCTTGCAGGCTCATCAGATGCCCAGGCCAGCAGCACAGCCGGCCAGGACCAAGGAAACCTGGGGAGCCTCAGAGTACCCCCAGGTATTCCAACCTAAACCTGGCACCCCTGCCTCTCACCACCCTTCTTCTTGCTTTAACCTCACCCCCTACACAGAGCCTGGGCCACCTAACGTGGCATCAAACAGATGCCTCAATAAATCAGAGTCTAATTTTCCTGGAGAAAAAAAAAAAAAAAACTTAACAGATATACATACAAATTCAAAATATATCCTAAAGTACATATAAATTCAATATATATCCAATCATTGTGACTATGACAGTAGAACATTAAAATACTATTTTCAAAATGTATACAAGCTTAATGTTCTATTTATTCAAACTATTCAAAATACAAATCATCAACATAATTTGCCACTAACATCTCATTCAGTCCCTTCACAGGACACATGATTCACTGGGAGTTAATAAATTAGCAGCTGGCAGGCAGTGACACATAGCAAAAATGAAAACCAAGAGGTGAAATAGTTCTGAAATAAAAAGGGTTTTAAAGCTAAGAGAAATCATTGAATTACTAAGTCATTAGCACTAATTTTGAGCCAACTAACTAATTAATACGAGATGACACAGTGTCCTATGTTTTGGCAAATACAAACTATGTTTAAACAATGTCTGTAATGTGACTTTCAAAATGCTCCTGGCTTTACAAAGATGTGATTAAAATGTAGTAATACATGCTAAAACATTTCCCCCTGCAGAGAATGTTGTAACTTTCATCAGTCACACTGAGAGTCCAGAAGATGAAGGAAAAGGTAGTGGATTTCACTGAGAACTTACCAGAGTTGAACTCCCTCACTTTCTGTTGCCCAGCATTGGCAGGTTACGGGACTGGTGGCTGTGGTGTCTCAATGGTCTTTGGTCTCTTAGAAGGTGGAGAATCATCATCATCTTGAAAAAGAACATATGCTCATTACTGAAGGAACCATCTTAGGTTACAGCCACCTCCGGGTCAATTCCCAACATTCAAAATCTGAGCAGGGCTTTAAAGCTATTTTGAGTATTAATAATTATTTCTGTATTGCGAACTTCAGCATACTTTTTTCTAGTTATATCTGAAATGTTATTCTTCTGGGATGTGCGCAAGTGAATACTGCTTTTTCTTCTGTCTTGCTTCATTACTTTTTAGTTTGCTTCATTTGAATCATCATAAGTCTCCCCTTCTCCTCAAATAGCTTTCAACTTGCTGCCAAGAACAATAATCTCTTTTAAGGCTTTTGAGAAAAAACTTTCAATGAAGAGAGCCACCTAAAGTTATACAAATATAGAAGAAACGGGGTAAAATAAAGCTTAGATTGGAAAAAAATATTTAAGATTGTACAAAATTCAAGCACACATAAACAAGGGAAGCTGGGTAATTGTATGTTCCAATACTTTTAACAAGTGCAAAATGTGGAGGCTTAAAGAAATAGGGCTGGCCAGGCATGGTGGTTCACGCCTATAATTCCAACACTTTGGGAGGCCGAGGCAGGCTGATTACTTGAGGTCAGGAATTCGAGACCAGCCTTGCCAACATGGTGAAACCCCATCTCTACCAAAAATACAAAAATTAGGCCAGGAGCGGTGGCTCACACCTGTGATGCCGGCACTTTGAGAGGCCAAGGCGAGTACATCACCTGAGGTCGTGAGTTTGACTAACATAGAGAAACCTTGTCTCTACTAAAAATACATTAGCTGGACATGGTGACGCATGCCTGTAAACCCAGATACTTGGGAGGCTGAGGCAGGAGAATCGCTTGAACCCGAAAGGCAAAGGTTGCGGTGAGCCAAGATCGCACCATTGCACTCCAGCCTGGGCAACAAGAGTGAAACTCCATCTCAAAAAAAAAAAAGAGAACAAAAATTAGCCAAGAGTGGTGGCACATGTAATCCCAGCTACTTGGGAGGCTGAGGCAGGAGAATTGCTTGAACCTGGGAGGCTGAAGTTGCGGTGAGCTGCGATTGCACCACTACACTTCAGCCTGGGTAACAGAGTAAAACCCTGTCTCAAAAAAAAAAAAAAAAAAGAGAAAGAGAGAAAGAAAGCAAGAAAGCAAGCAAGCTACATTATTTATGAAACAGATACTGTTGACTCGGTCACAAGAAAGCCTGTGTATAAATGAGCAGTAAGATATTCAAGCACAGCACACACTCTACTCAGGACAGCTATCCTGAGTTCCATGCTTACTTCCTTCTGGATACACCAGCAACTCAATCTGCTATGATCCTGCAATACATCTCTTGTTAAAATTAGAGACATCTGGGCCAGGCACAGTGGCTCATGCCTGTAATCCCAACACTTTGGGAGGCCGAGGCAGGTAGATCACCTGAGGTCAGGAGTTTGAGACCAGCCTGGCCAACACGGTGAACTGCTGTCTCTATCAAAAATACAAAAATTAGCCTGGCCTGGTGGCATGTGCCTGTAATCCCAGCTACTCGGGATCCTGAGGGAGAAAAATCGGTTGAACCTGGGAGGTGGAGGTAGCAGTGAGCCAAAATCGTGCCACTGCACTCCAGCCTGGGTGACAGAGCAAGACTGTCTCCAAAAAAAAAAAAAAGAAAGAAAGAAAAAAATAGACATCTGGATCAAATCAGCTACTTCTGTCATCGTCTAGTCCCGCAAAGTGTCAGGTAACGTCCTATTAAGATCGCTGCTCACATATCTATAAAAATACTGAAAATATCATTTTAAAAAATCTTTTTTTTTTTATTTTGAGACGGGACTTTTGCTCTTGTTGCCCAGGCTGGAGTGCACTGGTGCGATCTCGGCTCACTGCAACCTCCACTTCCTGGGTTCAAGGAATTCTCCTGTCTCAGCTTCCCGAGTAGCTGGGACAGCAGGCATGCACCACCATGCCCGGCTAATTTTGTAGTTTTAGTAGAGACAGGGTTTCCCCATGTTGGTCAGGCTGGTCTTCAACTCCCGACCTCAGGTGATCCACCCACCTTGGCGTCCCAAAGTGCTGGGATTACAAGCGTGAGCCACCGCACCTGGCCAAGAAACCCTTATTTAAAAACAAGCCAGGTGTGGTGGCTTACGCCTATAATCCCAGCACTTTGGGAAGCAGAGGCAGGTGGATCACTTGACATCAGTAGTTTGAGACAAGCCTGGGCAACATGATGTAACCCCATCTCTACTAAGAATATATATATATATATAAAAAAAAAAAATGCCGGGCGCGGTGGCTCACGCCTGTAATCCCAGCACTTTGGGAGGCCGAGACGGGTGGATCACGAGGTCAGGAGATCGAGACCATCCTGGCTAACACGGTGAAACCCCGTCTCTACTAAAAAATACAAAAAACTAGCCGGGCGAGGTGGCGGGCGCCTATAGTCCCAGCTACTCGGGAGGCTGAGGCAGGAGAATGGCGTGAACCCGGGAGGCGGAGCTTGCAGTGAGCTGAGATCCGGCCACTGCACTCCAGCCTGGGTGACAGAGCGAGACTCCGTCTCAAAAAAAAAAAAAAAAAAAAATTAGCTGGGTGTGGTGGTGGGCACCTGTAATCCCAGCTTCTCAGGAGGCTGAGGCAGGAGAATCGCTTGACCCTGGGAGGTGGAGGTTGCAGTGAGCGGAGATCTTGCCACTGCACTCTAGCCTGGGAGACAACAGCAAAACTCCATCTCAAAAAAAAAAAAAAAAAAAAAAACAGACCCCATTTCAAAACAAAAAGAAAAGCAAAACAAAACACAAATGTGGTATGGAAATAAAAATAATTACCGTGTTAAACACAGCTTCGTAGAAAATAAAAGACCACTCAAATACAATAAGCTGTCTTTTTAGACAGGTATAATTGTTATTCTTATTTTACAGCTTAAGAAACAGGCTCAGAGAATGTTATTTCATTGGACCGTGTTGGATCTCTGGCCAGTGCAGCTGAGATCAGACTTCGTGTGTAACTCCACTAGCCTACCAGGGTGCCTCTCACAAAGGTAAGAAATGTAAATTTGGCCTAATATACGAAGTTGCCACGGCAGCACTGGCTCAGTTCTACATACACTACTTCTATGTTCATCAAGGGAAACCTTACAGGAAAGTGAAAATGTTTCTAGAAGGTGATTGGACACCAGCACATTTGCTTGTTGCCTGTGGGCTCTTCTTCTCAGGCCAACAGTAACCTGAAATTATTGACTGACTATTCCAGTCAACTGGAGAAAATGGTACCAAGGTCGCCAACATCAGACAAATTCACTTGAGGACCTATCTATGTACTTTGAAAGACAAAACTGCTTGTGAAGGATACTGTATTTCAGAAAAACAGAATCATATTAACAACTAATAACACTGTAAAATGCTGATGTGTTGAATGCTACTTTAGAAAAACATGTTCAAATCGAGGGAAAAAAGTCGAAAACTACATATCTTAGCTAGCTAGTTAACTATCTAGAGACATGCTTTCATTCCTGGCCTCAAGTAGTCCTCCTACCTCAGCCTCCTACGTAGCCTGGGCCACAGGTGGACACAGTTACACCTGGGTTTTTTGTTTTGTAGAGACAGGGTTTCACTACATTGCCCAGGCTGGTGTCATACTTTGGAGTCTCGCTGTGTTGCCTAGGCTGGGGTGCAGTGGTGCAATCTCGGCTCACTGTAACCTCCGCCTTCTGGGTTCAAGGAGTAGCTGGGACGACAGGCATGTGCCACCACACCCGGCTAATTTTTGTACTTTTTGTAGAGACTGAGTTTCACCATGGCCAGGTTGGTCTCAAACTCTTGACCTCAGGTGATCCACCCACCTCGGCCTCCCAAAGTGCTGGGATTACAGGCTTGAGGCACCAAGCCTGGTGGAGCACTTTCTTGTTATTAAACAGCCTAACCCAGGCGGGGCACAGTCCCTCACGCCTGTAATCCTGACGACTCTGATGGCCAAGGTGAGAAGACCGCTTGAACCCAGGAGCTCGAAACTGGCCTGGGCAACACAGCGAGACCCCCATCTCTACAAAAATTACAAAAATTAGGCCGCGTGAGCACCGCCCCCGGCCAATTTTTGTATCTTTTGTAGAGACGGGGTTTCTTCATGTTGCCCAGGCTGGTCTAGAACTCCTGAGCCCAAGCCAGCCATCCTCCCGCCTCGGCCTCCCAAAGTACTGGGATCGCAGTTTTATTTGGCAGTCCCTCCCTGTTGCACACTTAGGTTCTTTTTTTTACTTTTTTAGACAGGGTTTACCTCAGTCTCGCAGGCTGGAATGCTATGGTGGGACCATAGCTCATTGGAGCCTTGAACCTTGGGGTTCAAGTAGCTGGGGGGCTGAGGTAGGACTACTGAGACAGGGTCGCGCCATGTTGCTAGACTGATCGTGGCCTGAAGGGATCCTCCCGCCTTGGTCGCGCCTGGACATATTTTTGTATTTTTGACCGACATAAACACTGCGCTGGGTCTGAGTTTGTCAACTACCCTTCTCCAGCCAGCAACACACAGGACCTGGAGGGGAGGTCGCGGTTACCAGGCTCCACTCTCAGGAGACAACTGCTCAGCTACTGACACTCCCACCTCCGTGACGCCGCCGAACGCCCCCGCCTGTGACATCGCTCCAAGGCCCATCCTTGCGACGTCACCGAAGGCGCGCGCTTGTGACGTCGCAGAAGCCCGCTCCTCACGCGGAGCCGATCGGAACTCGCGGCGGGGCTACAGGTCTTCCAGGAGCGCTCGTGCGCGGACGCCTGGCCACAGGCCGCCGGGGGGGATATAACCGGCAGCTGAGCTGGCCTTTTTGTGTCCGCAAGCTTCGGCGCGGCTGCCGCCGCCCATGAGCTACCGGGAGGAGCTTTACGACTTCCCCGCCTGCAGGGCCGGGCGTAGCAAGGGCCAGACGCGTCACGAGCAGGCGCTGCGCCCCAACCGGCCGGCTCCTGGCGGGCCCGTTGCGGAGAAGCTCCTCAATGGCCAGCGGCAGCTGCAGCCTCGGCAGTGCACTCGCCTCACCTGATCCCGGGTACGTGCATCCCACAACACCTCCCCCAGCCAGGACCCGAGGACCCCCGGGAGCGTTCCCCGCCACCTGGCGCGGCTCATCCTGGGCAGGGTAGGCCCCCTCTGAGGTTGCCCCGCATTAGGGAGCTGCACCGCGGAGCTCGACCTCTCAGGGGCCGTTGTAATCGCATTAAGCCTTTGAAACTTTGTAGCGGTGTAAAAGGCGCTAGAAAACGAAGAAAACATCTTTTTAAAAATATAAGCGATCGGTCGGGCGCGGTGGCCCACGCCTGTAATCCCAGCACTTTGGGAGGTCGAGGCGGGTGGATCACGAGGTCAGGAGTTCAAGACCAGCCTGGCCAGCATGGTGAAACCCCGTCTCTACTAAAAGTACAAAAATTAGCCGGGCGTGGTGGCGGGCGCCTGTAATCGCAGTTACTCCGGAGGCTGAGGCAGAGAATTGTTTGAACCCGGGAGGCGGAGGTTGAAGTGTGCCGAGATCGCACCACTGCACTCCAGCCTGGGCAACAGACCGAGACTTTGTCTAAACGTGTGTGTGTGTGTGTCTGTGTGTCTGTGTGTGTGTGATCGAGCCCGGCAGGTTGAGATTACAATGAGCCGAGATTATATAAAAGATCAAGCACGGGAGGTTGAGGTTACACTCAGATGAGATTGCCCCGTTGCACTCCAGCCTGTGTGACAGAGGGATACTCTGTCTCTAAAACCTTACATGCAAGTGAGAGCTTTTCTTCCAGCGCTCATGCTCAGACTGAAGAAAGTAATTGGGCCGGGCCCAGTGGCTCACGCCGGTAATCCCATACTTTGGGAGGCCGTGGCGGTGGATCGCTTGAGCTCAGGGGTTCCAGACTAGCTTGGGCAACATGGTGAAACCCTGTCCCTACAAAAATACAAAAAATTAGCTGGGCATGGTGGCACGCGCTTGTAGTCCCTGCTGCTTGTAGGGCTGAGGTGGGAGGATCGCTTGAGTCCAGGAGGTCGAGGCTGCACCTCCTGGGCTCAGGCAATCCTTTTCAGCCTCCCAAAGTGCGGGGATTACACTGTATTTTAATGCTTTTTTTGAAAATGGAAACTTTTACAGGCAATTCACTTCCTTCAAGCTAATGATAAGGAAATGATGCTATTCTGTTTTGTTTTCTGTTTGTGTGTGTGTATGTGTGTGTTTTCTTTTTTGAGACAGGGTGTTGCTCTGTTGCACAGGCCAGGTGCAGTGGCTCATGCATGCCTCTAATCCCAGCTACACAGAAGGCTGAGGCAGGAGAATCGCTTGAACCCAGGAGGCAGAGGTTGTAGTGAGCCGAGATCGCACCACAACACTAATGCCAACATGCCCAGCTAACTTTAGCATTTTTTAGTAGAGACTGTGTTTCACCATGTTGGCAAGGCTGGTCTTGGACTCCTGACCTCAGGTTATCCACCTGCCTTGGCCTCCCAAAGTGCTAGGATTACAGGCATGAGGCACTGTGCCCGGCTAATTTTTGTATTTTTAGTAGAGGCGGGGTTTCACCATGTTAGCCAGACTGGCGTTGAACTCCTGGCCTTAAGTGATCCACCTGCCTCAGCCTCCCAAAGTGCTGGGACTACAGGTGTGTGCCACCGTGCCCGGGCCCCCTTTATTCCTTACAATCATGCAGTTCTAACTCAGCAGTCAGAGGTAGATTTTTCACTTGCAGCAGAGGCAGTAGAGGTTTTGGAAATGCTCCTTGAGGCAGACACTACACCCCGATTTCATGGAGTGCTTTGGGCTGAGCCAAGTCTGCAGTAGGCAGAAGGCTCTGAGAAGTCGTCCCAGCCTGGACAAAGAACAGTTCAGAGCTCTGGGGCACAGGGGTGTGCTCAGCAGGACTGGGTGGACAGGACCTTTGTTGCGAAGGTGAAGAGCACAGGCTTCCAGGAGCAGGTGCCTGACAGACAGGCTTCTTTGGGAGGTGGCCAGAGGAGATGTCTGTTTGCTGGGGCAGGAATTGGAGGGAGCCGCCCAGCCTGGAGAGGTTCAGCCAGGCTGTCACAAGGCTTTGAAACTTCCCATCTGAGAGTCTGCACTCCCTGTTTGCTTGATGCATTAATAAATATCCCACCCAAATCTGCACCCATCCACTCCTGTGTTCAAGAGCTGTTTCAGGGAGTCAACCTCATTTTTGGCAGTGTCCAGCCCACTGACCTCAGCTCTGTGTGCCTGGAAGGGTGGCTCTCCTCTGGGGGGATAGGATTCGGAGGCGGGGGGAGAAAGAGTGATGTTAGAGAGCTCGGTCTAGGACTAGAGGATCATGTGCCCTTATGTAAAATACATCTCAAGTTAGGGAAGAAAGCAGTGGCTTTATGCTTTGTGTGTGTGTGTGTTTTTTTTCTTTTGTTTGTTTTGAGACAGGGCTCTATGGACCCGGCTCTATGGATCAGGCTGGACTGCAGTGTGATCCTGGCTCACGGCAACCTTCACCTCCTGGGTTCAAGCAATTCTTGTGCCTCAGCCTCCCAAGTAGCTGGTGTTAAACAGATATGTGCCACCATGCCTGGCTAATTTTTGTATTTGTAGTAGAGACAGGGTTTTGCCATGTTGGCCAGGCTGATCTTGAACTCCCAACCTCAAGTGATCTACCTGCCTTGGCCTCCCGAACTGCTGAGATTAAAGGTGTGAGCCATCGTGCCTGGCCCCGTGTTGTGTTCTGATGGGGGAGGATGGGAGGGTGTTCGAGCCCTTCCTGGACTGACGGAACCTGTGTCTTCTGCCTTCTGTGGACAGGATGGTGATTGCTCATGCCAAAGCCTTGGACCCCTCCCGGCCTGTGACCTTTGTGACCAACTCCAACTATGCAGCGGACAAGGGGGTGAGCCTGGGGGTCCCCACCCCATTTTTCCCCACCTTTGCCTGGGTTTGTCCTGAAGTCTGCTCATGGGAATAGCTGGAAAGGACCATGAGGTGCCAGCCAGGGATTTTTTATTTTGTTTTTTTACTTGAAAAGATAGAGACAGGATCTTGCCATGTTGCCCAGACTGGTCTCGAACTCCTGGGCTCAAGCGATCCTCCTGCCTCAACCTCCCAAAGGGCTGGGGTTACAGGTATGGGCCACCGCACCCAGCTGCAGCCAGTCTGTTTTCAAAGATGGTCTTTGGGTTAATGAGAATTCTCTCCCTGCTTACTCGCCAGGCAGTGTGGCTTTCTGAATCCAGGGAGGCTGGGCATAGGGAGATGGGATTTGTTTGCTCAGTTTGGACTCAGCGTTTTTTGCACTTTGATTTAATAGAGTCATAGAATGTCAAAGGTTTAAGGGGGCTTAGAGTTCATCTGGCCCACGCCTGGATGTTCAGAATCTCTAGGGGAATTTTTTTTGAAATGGCAAATCTCTGCATTCTGAGATCCTGATTCAGTAACTCCAAAGTTGGAACCTGCATTTTCCTTTTTCTTCTGTAGAGGCAAGGTCTTACTCTGTTGCCCTGGCTGGAGTACAGTGGTGCAATCACAGCTCACTGTAGCCTTGAATTCCTGGGCCCAAGAGATCCTCCTGCCTCATCCTCCCGAGTAACTGGGACTTCAGGTGTGCTGGGCTAATTTAAATCTTTTTGCAGAGATGGGATTGCACTATATTGCCCAGGCTGGTCTCAAACTCTTGAGCTCAAGTGATCCTCCAGCCTTGGCCTCCCAAAGTGGTGGGATTACAGACACAAGCTGCCATGCCTGGCTGACATTAGCATTTTTTTTTTTTTTTTTTTTTTTGAGATGGAGTCTTGCTCTGTTGCCCAGGCTGTAGTGCAATGGTGCAATCTTGGCTTACTGCAACTTCCTCTGCCCGAGTTCAAGCAATTCTCCTGCCTCGGCCTCCAGTGTAGCTGGGATTACAGGCCCACGATACCACGCCTGGCTAATTTTTATATTTTTTAGTAGAGACAGGATTTTGCCATGTTGGCCAGGCTTGTCTCGAACTCCTGACCTCAGGTGATCCACCCACCTTGGCCTCCTAAAGTGCTGGGATTACAGGCATGAGCCACCGCACCCAGCGAGCATTCTTACTAGAAAGTAGTGTGTTCAGGACGCATTAGAAACTAGCCGGTTGGACACAGAAGCATCTGCTGTTCAGCCCTGAGCACCAGTTTGCTGAAGCTGATGGTGGTCCTACTTGGTCATCTCTGCCCTGCTCCTAGTTGGGACTCTTTCAGGCCCTCTGCAGCCCACAGTGCTGCCTCATGAAAGCTGCCTCAAGATTCTCTGTGATGGGCCGGGCGCAGTGGCTCAAGCCTGTAATCCCAGCACTTTGGGAGGCCGAGATGGGCGGATCACGAAGTCAGGAGATCGAGACCATCCTGGATAACACGATGAAACCCCATCTCTACTAAAAAATACAAAAAACTAACCGGGCAAGGCAGCGGGCGCCTGTAGTCCCAGCTACTCAGGAGGCTGAGGCAGGAGAATGGCGTAAACCCAGGAGGCGGAGCTTGCAGTGAGCTGAGATCCGGCCACTGCACTCCAGCCTGAGCGACAGAGCAAGAGTCCGTCTCAAAAAAAAAAAAAAAAAATTCTCTGTGATGGCCGGGCATAGTGGCTTACACCTGCAATCCCAACATTTTGGGAGGCCAGGGCGGGTGGATCACTTGAGGTCAGGAGTTAGAGACCAGACCAGCCAACTGGTGAAACCTTGTTTCTACCAAAAATACAAAAAATTAGCTGGATGTGGTGGCACGCACCTGTAATCCCAGCTACCTGGGAGGCTGAGGCATGAGCAGCACTTGATCGTGGGAGGCAGAGGTTGCAGTGAGCCGAGATGATGACACTACATTCTAGCCTGGGCAACAGAGTGAGACT